CTCAACCGCGGCAAACCCATCTCCGTCTACGAGTACTGGCAGCTCAACAAGCAGAAGGTCGCGCTGCAGAAGAAATCCCTCGATAAATGGAATGCCGCTCGCGGCCCCTCGGGCAGGCTAGTTGATGTCCTCCTGGCGCCCACGACGCCCCATTCGGCTGTTCCCCATCGGAGCGTGCGGTGGGTGGGATACACTAAGATATGGAATTTACTGGACTATCCGGCTGTTACGTTCCCTGTTGACCGCGTGCGCGCGGAGATCGATCAACGGCCGACGGAGGCGTATCAGCCTAGGAATGACTTGGACGCGTGGAACTGGAATCTCTACGACCCGCAGTCTATGGATGGACACCCAGTTAACGTGCAGATCATTGGGAGGAAACTCCATGAGGAGGTTGTGTTGGGTGCTGCTTCTGTGGTTGAGAAGGTCTGGAGGGCTGACAAGTGATATACCGCATACTTGTAAAGGAGTATACGACGGTAGTACATAATGACTGCACTGTTTAGATGAGGAACCAATTCAAGACTCGGATAGTAGGTTTTGTGTAAGTTCGGACCAAGCACAATCTAACCCCCACTTTTGGGTGGAGTTGAGTTCCAATCCTCTCTCCATCCAACATCCCCAAGTTGACGTTTGGAGACAAATTCGGGTATTCACGTACTATGTATCATTCCATGGTTATGACTCCATAAGAATCTCCCTATCTAATCACAATCATAATTGGATGGCGATTGATATGGGTTGGAGTTCCAACAGCGAATTGGAGAAACCAAATGCTTCGTCTCCACGCCGCGATTATACTTCTCCAAAGTCTCCAACAAGTCCACGAACAAGACAATACAGAAACAGGTCGGCGATAACAAGATCAAAATTCGTATCAATTTGTTATCTTTATTATCGCATCACTGATAGTAAACTCATCCCACAACGATTGTCCACAGCGTGGCCGATAAGAGGGATAACCTTCCCCGCATGCATATGTATGAGATCCATGGTTGCTCACCTACCCTAGTGGTCCACGCAGGTACAGCATCATTGATCCAACTGACATTCCTGGTATTTCCAAAGAGTTCGGATCAGAGCGGAGAAAAGGAGAAGTTTTGCTTATCTTGATTGATCATTCAAATGGCTACTATGGCCAATACTCCCCACTCTCCCCACCCCCCACCTACTCCCCGCACCAACATATAAGGAGCGGATAGCAGTCTCCTCCGATTTTCGTCTTGAGAAATCCTAACCCGTCCAGCTTCACATATCCATATATTTGGATCTCGATTATTGATATACTTCGCTTTCGATAACAGACACAATGGGCAAAAAGCGGATCTTGGTCAGCTATGGAGTGGATATCGACGCCGTCGCGGGCTGGTTGGGATCGTACGGCGGAGAAGATAGCGCCAATGACATCAGTCGTGGTATGAACACCTCGCTCAAACATTCTTTTTGCGCCGGAAGAGATCAGCCAGAGCTAACACTCATGTAGGCCTTTTCGCCGGCCACATCGGCACCACGCGTCTACTCAAGATGTTCGAGAAATACAACATCAAAGCAACGTGGTTCATCCCGGGCCACTCGCTCGAGACCTTCCCAGAAGAATGCGCGATGGTCCGCGACGCAGGGCACGAGATCGGCCTGCACGGCTACAGCCACGAGAACCCCACAGACATGACCATCGAGCAACAGCGGGATATCCTAGACAAGACATACCATATGCTGACGGACTTCTGCGGCAAACCGCCGCGGGGGACCGTCGCGCCGTGGTGGGAGACGAGCGAGGAGATGGCGGATATTTTGCTCTCGTATGGTATCGAATACGATCATTCTATGTCTCACCATGATTGTCAGATGTATTGGCTGCGTACGGGAGACTCGTGGACGAAGATTGATTATAAGCAGAAGGCGGAGACTTGGATGAAGCCGTTGGTTCGGGGCCAGGATACGGGTCTGGTGGAGATCCCTGGGAACTGGTATATCGATGACTTGCCGCCGATGATGTTCATCAAGAAGTCGGCTAACAGCCATGGATGGGTGAACCCGAGGGATGTGGAAGATATTTGGAAGGTTTGTCTCGACGTCTTTTCCCTACAATTCCATTATAACGCCGGACTAATGGGGGTTTTTTGTGCAAAGGATCATTTTGACTACTTTTACCGAGAGTACGACGAGTTCGTCTTCCCCATGACCATCCATCCGGACGTCTCGGGTCGTCCCCATGTTATCCTCATGCATGAAAGGTGAGTAACATCCCCCCTTGCTACGAATATACCAAGACGCTCATCCTGTCCAGAATCATCGAACATATCAATAAACACGAAGGCGTCGAATGGGTGACTTTCGAGCAAATGTGCGACGAGTTCAAGAGCAAAAATGCCCCGCCTGCCGGTGCTAAGATGCCTGCGATCCCGGGCACGAAGAAGTAATCTATATCCCATCCATCAAGGGGGGTCTCTCATCAGCTTGGCTAGGACTATTACCCGGTATATAGTTAAATTGGGTGGCACCTAAACTCAAGTTTGAGCGTGTTGGAAGTTAAAGCTATAGAAAGCTTCAATGACTAATATGTCTATACATTAAACAGGCCCCATAACGCCTAATCTATGCTAAATTCAAAATTTCATTTTTCCTCGTGTCAACTTAGGCCTTTGGCGGCTCGAAAAGCTGCGGTTTCATGTTGATCTTGCAGAGCTTCGCCACACAGCCGCTCAGTTGAAGGAGCGATTGCACTCCGTCCAGGATGCGCATGTGCGTAAAGCCAATCTCCCGGATGAACTCCAGCTTAGAATGCTCGGATAAGGTTGGGATGGTCTTGGTCACTCGGAACATCGTGCTGATGATATCGTGGGAGGAGTACCCCAAGGTCCTGCTCATGTCAGTGAAATTGACCTCGAAGCGTGCAATAGAAGGTATTACACACCATAGCTCATTAAGCGTCTCCAGCGCAGCATCAACCTTGCCTTCCCAGCAAGCCTTGATCATAGCTTGCACTTTAATAGGATGAGGGCTATCGACAACGCGGAACACGTTGTCCCCACTGACAAAACCGAATCCTGACCATGTACTCTGTAGGTTATTGATCGCCTGGCGCATATCGCCCTCGGCACTGAATACCAAGGCAGCGATGCCGTCCTCCGTGTGTTCCACTTTCTCCGCGTCGCAGACTTGTTTCAGGCGCTTGACCACTTGCCCATCGGTCAACCGGGAGTATCGAAGGATAGCACATCGCGACTGGATTGGCTCGATGATCTTGTTGGACTGGTTGCAGGCGAACGCAAATCGGGTAGTTGAAGCGTAGATTTCCATGGTCCGTCGCAACGCTTGCTGAGCACCGGATGTCATACTGGATAATATCCCGTGAGTAAATGAACTATCGAACAGATGGGAAACCCAGCAGTCCTCACCTATCTGCTTCATCAAGCACAACGATCTTGTGACGGCCCGGAGGCAGCGTAACTTTCTTCTGGGCGAAGCCTTTGATCCTGTTCCGCACGACGTCGATGCCTACATGTTGTCAGAAACCGCATCACCTCACCCTGCACGTAATCAATATACCTCGTTCATCACTAGCATTCAGCTCCAACACAGCTTCTTTATACGCATCCCCTAGCAATTGCCGCGCCAGACACATAATCGACGTCGTCTTTCCGATACCTGGCATGCCTGAGATGATAACGTGCGGCATGTTGCCGTCTTTGGCGATAATCTTCAATCGTTCGATCGTTTCGGTGTTGCCCACTACGTCGTCGAGATATACAGGGCGGTATTTTTCAACCCTAAGTCATCTATGTTAGCGCTGCGTATAGAGGAGGGGAATTGGTTGGATACGCACCACGGGAGCTCATAGTCTGCAGGAGCACCTGCGGTGACGGCCTTGAGGCCATTCTTCGCGGCGCTGGCTGATGATTCGGCTTTGGCCATTGTAGGTTCAATTGTCTTTGCTTCCGTGTGTTCTTTCTTGTCGGTCGTTTTGTAGTTTATGACGGATATATCCACTATCAACGAGTAGCCGCTGAGGAGGCTCGGGAACAATGCCAAATGACGCGAGTCGATAACCGACGCGTCTTTCTGATTTGACCGAAAGCGGTTTAGCTTTCTGCCTTGGATTTTAGGAATCCCTCCGCCTTCATACTCCGTGGATTATACCGATTTCTCTGTGCAATAAGCTTCATATCTGTCCCTGAATTACAAATGCCGCTACGAAATTGATTGACTCTGTTACCTGCTGTTACTTCCCGTTGATTCCCGTACACTACCGACAACCCCCGACCTCATCCCTCCGCCGCATAAGCCTCCAACAGCATCGTCCGAATATCCCGAGCTAACCCCCCACCCCTGCGTTTTCTTTCGAACTGCTATTGCGCCAGTACATGCAGCTACACCCCGCCACCATGGGGACAACATCCGTCCGTCGCAACCTCTTCCATCACCACCTAAGCAGACGGCCTGTACCCGCCACGACACCAGATGAACCCATGCAGAATGGCGGTGCAAACAGCAAGATGTCCGATCTTTCCTCCCGTATGCTGACATCTACGTCGTCCGGGTCTACGTCGTCGCTGAGTTCCGGACCGGTCGATAATGGGGAGATCGTCACGCGGGATCAGAACGGCGCGTATCAGCTTGATATTCCTGTCTTGCCCCCCGTCTCTGGGGATATGGGTGACGAGATGGAAGGTGTTGAAGAGGGGCCTGGGGGCGCTGGCGCTGATTCTACGGCTCAGACGGAGATTGGGACGCGGGAAAAAGAGAGTATGTTCATTTATTGCCTTGGTTCTTTGTCTAGAGTTGTACACTGACGGTCCAAGAAATCGAGGCGAGTTTGGTGGAAATGATGTGCCGGAATAGAAACAGGCAAATGAGCAACGAGCCGGCTGGTATGTTTTGAACCGGATGCAGTGCAATGCCATGTCATGGAGCTCGTTTACTGACCTTACGACAGAAATTCTCAATCTTATACAACAAAGTCTTCGAAATAAAGTTGCCGCGCTGCAGGACGACAATTGGATGTACGAACCAGAGACTAATTCGCGAGCATGATGAATTATGTATTGGGTGTCAGTGTTCGCAGCCCATGCGAACTATCCTATCCGAAGGCAATCTACCTAATCCAGATCGAGACTTTTCGGCGGCGCTTCGACTCTCCTCGACTGTCCCTGACCCTGCGATCCCTGACCTCCGAACAACATGCTGCCCATCATATCCAACAGAGGATTTCCTTGTCTGGGGATCTTGATCGAAAAGTACTGCTCGCCAATCTGCGCCAAGGCATCATCCCATATGCCCACTTCGCGGATTTGCGAGGCATAGTGGGTAGAAAGTTGCTTGAAAAGATCCGCGCTTCCGCGCTGAATCGCAAGAAGCAGCATGTTGATAAAGTTGAGGAGGGGCAGCGCGGGGAAGACTCGGGCGTCCGTGCTGGAACTGCTGATGTCCTGTGCGCCTAGCGAAGGGTTCGAAGAAGAAAGTCGTGACGTGAAGATGAGGAAGGCTTTGTTGGCATTGCGAAGGTTGCCGGTCAAGATGTAGGGAAAGACCGCACGGGATGCGTAGATGGCCGCCGTATGGGGTTCGTCGTGTGTGTACCACTCGTATTCCAGTTTTGCCAGTGTCTCCGCCGACTCGGACGTGCCAAGGATCAAATGTTTCTCGGCGTCATAGGGTTCGTGGTCTTCAAATGTTGTTAGAGGAGATTCCGATGAACCGGGACAGCATGACGCCACTAACCTTCCGCATACACCGACCCGGCAGCGTGATGCAAGTCAGGGTCGCCTCTCTCCAGAGGTCCGTATTTTGCACTCCAGCCAATGATCTCCTGAATGAACCGTTTTCGCGTGGGCTCCTCGGGGGGGAATTCGCGCAGCAGTTGGATGAGGCGTTCTGCAATTGTTCCAAATGATATAAGCAATCGAGATCACATCAGAGCCTAAACATGTCTGTTCCTGTAGAAAGACGCATTGAAGTTGAACTCACTCTTACGAGATCGCCCCTCGGCATCGTCGCTACCGCCAGTGATCTCCCAGCCCGCTTTATTGTACACCTCGGTGACCAGCATGATGGACAAGTCTCCACCACTGGCGGACGCACCCTGTTGCGAGCCAGCCTTGAGGAGAGCCGTCGCCCCGCCAGCTAATAGATCCGCCGCTGCATCGTAATTCGCTTGTTTGATGTATCGGGCTGCGATGACACGCAATTGTTGGTGAGCTTCGTAGTAGGCCCCAGAAGCAATCCTGCGTGCGATACCGGAATAAGTTAGTGTTTTTGCGACCAAGAGTCATTGTATAACATTAGGCAAAAGGTCCGAATCAGGTTCACGTACTTCTCGCGCTGTCGAGCAATCGTCTTGTCAATCCGGGAGGTCATCGTGACCTAATAACACGTCAGAGGCCGATGTCAAGGAGATCAGATGGAAACGAGGAAAGTGAACGAATGAGGGCTGCGCATACAAATCTTTGGGTTCAAGACAACTGTTTAATTGATCAAAGTCCGAAGGTTGAGAGACAAGGCTTTGTTGGAGTTGACAGTAGCTTTTTGGTGGGGAGAGGAGGGGCGGACAAGCTTCGGGTCACGGTGGTGCTTGTTGCCCGCTGACTGACGGACGGGAACCCGCTGCTGAGCTACTCCGGAGTCCGCCCTGCTACTCCCAAGGAGCCGTAAGTCTCCTATTGCAAGGTTTCTAGATCGGCCGACGTCTACCCACCACTGGTCTAATTTATCTACTGAAGGTCTATGCTTGTGGGTTTTGACTTATAGGCATCGGCTTCGCGCGTTGCCTCAACTAGATCTTGTTCCTTGATATCCAACGACCCCTGCATTGTTGATATAACATTGCGCGTCCACCCAGCACAAGATTAATGTACTGATAACTCCTGTCAAGGTATTCAGGAGGACCCACATAAGTGATGAACCGAACTGCTTTTGACATCCAACCAATTGGCCGCTTCTATGGCTCCAATACGACGATTCGTCGTCCCAGAGTAAGCCGGGTCACCTTACATATGGCTTCCGCGCCCATATGGATGTAGCATTCTGACCAGCTCTCAGGAAATAACTTCTTTCTCGTACGATGATAACCATGAGTTTCATCTGGGAGACCTGTCTCTGCGGTACTACTATCCACCAAGTCTTCCGGCCGATTTGAACAAAGGCTTTGATAGTTTCCAGAAATTGGATGACGCCGGGGATGAACATCTCGATGCTTTGTTGGAGAGTATCATAGCCTTGGAAAAGGAAACAGGAAAGAAATGCGAAGCCGACATCATTACTTGGCGTGGCATGATGACGAAGGTTAATCGCATCCAGCCCAATAGTTTGCTTGACATGGAACTGATGCCGCTGCGATTACTAGATCCTTACGGCCCCATTTGACAATATGAATGGGTGCGTAGTCGCTACTCTGGTCTCCTCTTTATCTTTCTTTGCCACTAATCCGAGTCTAGCTTTGAAATGAATGCGACGTGCTTCCAGGTGAGCTGCCAACACCAAACCATCGATGGACTCTCTAGCTAACGCAGACGGCTGTAAGGGAACTATGTATGCTGCTCAGATCCTTGGGTCTCTAGGACTAGGTGCTGATGCATTCGCAGTTTCATCGAAGAGAACAACGCTTTCAAAAACCAGCAAAAGCAAAAACAACACAGCCAAAGAATGCCACCTGGGATGGCATCCCAGGAATTGATGGCATACTGGGGTAAGACACATACCATTATACACCTCATTGATGTTTCAGAATCATTGATTCCTGCACAGGATACAAGTTCGAGACCTTGTCGGTACTTGACCAGCCGTGGGATCCGACACCCCGTCATGAGATTGAAAGTCGGGAAGATCTAACCGTGAACAACAACGCCCAATACTGTTCTGTAGCTCGCACCGGGATAGGTCACACGAAGCTAGTCATTGGCGGAGAGGTAGATGCCTGTATGTACAGTGCCCCCCGTGATTTGCGTATTCAGCGCTAACATGCTACCAGTGTGGGACTGCAAACCAGATCGTAAGGAGGACCCTATTAACTGGGTAGAGCTCAAAACTTCTGCGGAGATCCGAAATGATCGCGACATGTTTAAGTATGAGCGAAAATTATTAAAGTTCTGGGCACAGTCATTTCTACTTGGCGTCCCTAAGATCATTGTTGGTTTCCGCGACCAGCACGGTATTCTCCGTCGTTTGGAGGAAGTTGAAACCGCCAGCATACCTAGCAAAGTCAAGAAAGTTGGTCGGAACACCTGGGATGGAAACATCTGTATCAACTTCACTGATGCATTCCTTGAGTGTATGTATATCAAGGAGAGACCCTCTTGCGTAAAACCCGGACTAACTTACGAGAACAGTTCTCAAGTCCACCGTCAGCGAAGGGGGAACGTGGCGAATCCGCAAGCAAGAGAAGTCCTCACTCATCGAGCTCTACAAGGTCGAGGAGAGCGGAACCGGCGATATCATTTCTTCATCCTTTTTGGAATGGCGGGCATCGGCTAATGCAACTGCCGAGTCATGATTTCCTACTAACCCACGTGGCCCGAGTTGACGACGTTCTCAAGAGAGGCGGCTATCAATATGATAGTGTTGTGTCCAGCACAGGTATCTGGGGTCACTTAGCCCAGGGTAAAAGTCCAGGGCTCGGGGAAGATGTCCAACTACTTGCGGCCCCTGAACAATATCCGATGAAGAGCCGGTGCATCGTCCAAGTTTTTGCAAGGTTTGTGCCATCTAAGGTGCTTCTCTGCGATTGCAGACGAATTGTAAAGTTGTATCCTCCTGGTATCCCAATTGCTATAGCAACGGGTGCGGTGCATGGACGATGTGCCATGTTGCTTATAAGAGGGACAGGCGACTCTTTTACACTGCTCCTATTAGGCATTGTCACACTTCCGTCCCGACTTGATGAACAATCATATTCATGTGCACATAATGTACCACTATCTAGTTATGGGTAGTCTGTTAGAAGCCCCAGCAAGGGATTGGAATTTGGTGCATGTCGTCCACTTGTATCCTGTACAATACATACAAGTTCCTCCAATTCCAGATACTCCCCCCGAAAGACACATCATGCAGTCTAGCACAAGGTTTCAAACGGTGTAGGACCACTGTGCCGCCGAGGTCGATTCTGAACAAATCAGTCTACCACTTTCGCAGGCTTTGGTACCTCTATTCCCTTTGCAATGCGCTCTTCGCGTTGTGCTCGTCTTACGGCAGCTTTCAAGACCCTCTTGTGAGCCTGGCCACGGATATGGATGTTCCACTGCTCGCTGTTCGCCAAAGTCCTCTTGCAAACGTCACAAGTGATGGTTTCTGAGCCAGGATCGGTTTCTTCACGCGACTTTGCTTCCTTTTCGCCCAGTACTGTCCTTGCAAAGTCTGAGAGTGATTTGGGATCAGGGGTAGGTTCGCCGCTAAGCAGGGAGCGAACGAGGTGCTCCGATGGATCTGTGACGCTACCAGTCCAGTTTTCGACGTTCGTACTGTCCAGGAGATATAAGCGGGATGTCTCGTTGATTGCTGCGAGAGCTCTCCACAGCTTATTGCGTATCCATTTGATCTGCGACGTGGAATACTGGCGAGTAGCGGTTTTGATAGACTCAATGCATGTTCGCTTCAAGGCTTCCAGTTCTTCTGGGCTCGCTGTTCCCTTATGCAATTCCTCGAGATACGGTGCAAGTTCTTTGAAGCCGATGGCGACCCAGACGCCCCGCGTCTGGTCAACGGTGATCCCCTGTGACTTTTTCTCTCGGAGATAGTCCCACATAAGCTGTGCTTCCGACAACAATCCCTGCTCGAGCATGACCCCAACGCGTCCGTCGAGGCGCGAATTCAAGACCTCTTTCTCCGAATGGATCCAGAAGAACATCGTCGGAAACCGCAGCTGGCCCGTGCCATCGGAGCTGTTACACGTCAGGGCTCCCTCCTTGGCGCGTTTCTGCTCGGCATAGACTTCCGAGGCCGGCCGCCCAGTCTGGAAATAGATCTCGAGAGAGCGGCGGATTTTCCGCCCATCATTCGGATGCCAGCGTTGCGCCATTACCGGATCGACCTCCCGCAGCTTCTGTAGGATCACCTCGGTAGGCGCATTGAGGATGGGCCATCTCGTAGAAGGCTCGATCGGTTCTCCGTTCGCTTGGCCATCTAGCTCCTCGAGCGCGGCAGAAGCGTCACCAACCAGCTGGTCATTGAACAATACAGCTTGCGTGTAATAATGGGTTCCTCCAACGAGGATCGGCAGTTTTCCTCTGTCGTGTATTTCCTGGATGATGCGGAGACATTCTTTCTTGAACAGGCCGACGCGCCACGGCTCTTCGTCCAGTTCGACGCAGCTCAGCAGGTGGTGTGGGATGCCGTTTCGTTCTTCGACGGGGATCTGATTCGTGATGATGGAGAGACCGCGGTACATTTGCATTGCGTCGCCGTTGATGATCTCACCGTTGAAACGAGATGCTAGGTCCACTGCAAGCTATCTACAGCCGTCAGTGACTATCCCCGATGGTGTTTGCTTTGAGATTTTCATGCAGTACCACTCACCTTGGACTTGCCTGTGCCAGTGGCACCGACGACAGCTATGAGGGGCTTCATAGCGGCGGATAGGCGTTTGCGAGGGAAGAATAAACGGGAGAGATAGTTCATGAGATGAGGGAACTGCTTAGCATCATGGAGCCCGATGAGCCATTTGGAAGATGTATGACATCGGAGGGAGCGAAGGAAAATGTAGATGTGGGCGATTCAGCCCAGTTCGTGGACGGTTATGAATTGGCATATAGAACTCGGAGGTAGAAAAATGAGGCCGCGGAGATTAACGTGCTCCGAGCGTCAGAGGTGTTTCCAGTTTTTCAATTTTTAAATTACGGCAGAAATTGGTAATTTATATTGATTGTCAACAATCCGGCCATCTAACGTCTCGGAAAAAGCATATTTGCAATACATTATAATACCAACAGATATTCTCCCGATCAATTCCATACTGTGATAAAAAAGACACTTGAATATAATGTTCTATCTGGTTTGATCTTCTATCTACTGATCATAGAGACTCAAACTGACTATATTGTAAAGTATCAGTAGCTGGGTAATTTGCAAAACGGGCTATTACCTCATCCATGAGGGGTCAAATACGACCTAATGAATGATGTCAATAAGATAAGAAAGAATCTCCGATTCCACCAAGCGACTAGACTATCACTCTTGATAGAATTTTAGACATATCTATCTCTTGCATTCACCATGGTGGATTCTGCCCAGCAAACTTCCAATGCACCATCCGTCCAGGTGAACCACCTATCATACAAGTTCCAAGATGGATCGTCCGGCTTGACCGATATCAATCTCGACCTACCTGCAGGAAGCCGCACACTGCTAATTGGAGGTAAAGAAAAACAATAAAGAACAGCCCCTCCTAAGTCTACTACAACGCTCACACCGTAATAGCCAATGGTGCGGGCAAGACCACCCTCCTCCGTCTCCTAGCCGGCAAGCGTCTCTCCCCGCACAACACGATCACCGTCGGCGGCAAAGACCCCTTCCAAGAGGGTCTAGACGGAGTGACCTACCTCGGCGCCGAATGGGTCCTCAACCACATCGTGCGGACGGACATCGACGTGCCGACCCTCCTCGCGTCCATCGGCGGAGACGCTTATCCCAACCGTCGCGATGAACTGGTCGACATCCTCGACATCGATCTCAGCTGGCGGATGCACGCTGTGTCGGACGGCGAGCGGCGTCGTGTGCAGCTGGCTATGGGTCTGATTCGGCCCTGGCAGGTCCTGCTGCTCGATGAGATCACCGTCGATCTGGACCTGCTGTCCCGGAGTGACTTCCTTTCGTTCCTGAAGCGGGAGACCGAGACGCGGGCGTGCACGGTCGTGTATGCGACGCATATTCTGGACAATCTGTCGAAGTGGCCGACGCACCTGGTGCACATGCATCTTGGGAATGTGAGACAGTGGGGTCCTATTGAAAAATTCAATGAGGAGACGGACGGGTCGTCGGAAAACAGTCGGCTTGGGGAGATTGTCCTTAAGTGGCTCAAGGAGGACCTGAAGGCTAGAGGGCCCCGGAATGGTCGACAAAATCAGGGTAAGACATATGAGTCTCTTGAGGGGCTGGGCGGTTATGGATTGGAAAAGCGGGCATAGGCCTCCTTCCCTCGGTCTATATTCTTCACTCCGAAACCTTGAGGTTCAACTTGGCTTCAATCTTGGATAGCGATATGATGTACATTGTGCGATTTCACGGACCCAAGATTCACCAGGGATGGCTGCACGCATTCAACATTCTACCAGGTCTTTAGAGTCTAATTATAAATGACATAACTTTTCTCGCTCGTCCACTCCACTCTATTTACTCACTACCCCGGAAATAAGTATATACACACCTTCTTCATAAAACCATGTCAGAAATGTTATAGACGCGCATCGACGTATCTTCACTTGCAACAGCAAGCTCAAAATGGCTCATTGGCGATGTGCTTTCCTCCTGCCTAGAGCCCAGTGGTCGCCACATGAGCTCCGTGATCGCCTTTGAGGGGCACATGGCCCGATCAACGCTTGCCAATTGCTGCGTTTCGAAGCTGTCGACCGCGACCTGATGGACCGACAGCTCCCCGCTCTCCTCGCCAGAAGCAAGAATCAGGTGCCCGTTGTGTTGGTGGGGAAGGAAAGAAATCGCAGTGACGGGAGATTTCAGCTGGATAGTCGCCTTGCATACAAATGAGCCTTCTGCTTTTTGCCAGATCTTTACAGACTTGTCGCGTCCTGCTGTCGCAAAAATAGGCTTTTCGCACATCGGCCCCCATGAGGCGTCGAGTATCATCCTGGAGTGGCCCTTCGGGTTTGAAATCATGAGTGAGAACGAGGATCGTTCTTGTTCGTCGCGGCAGAAGACAGCCCACTGTCTATCTCGCCCGACACTAAGAAGGTATTTGTCATCACTCGAGAAACACAGGCTCGTGATGGTTAAAGAATGAGCTGCAAGAGAGGGTCGAATCTCATGCCAGTCAGATGTGTCATATAGGCGAATTACCGCGTGGTCTATAGAGCTTGCTTTGCAGGCGGTGGCGATGAGTGTCCGGTCATGACTGACGGCCACGGCGGATATCTCATAACCGTGCCCATAGAGCTTCTCATGCTCCGGCCACAGTGTATACCGAGCCAGCTGGTCTTCGAGCGGAGGGTGGGTGGAAGTTGCCAACAATTGCTGGCTTTCCTGAGATTGTCCAACGCCGGCATCATCTACCTCATCCCCATCGGTCGGTGCCTCTTTGCCCGTAGACTGATTGGAAAGCCCAAGTACTGGAATCTGGGCAGTATCCGGCAGCTCGCTCTCTGTTAGTTGCTGAAAGCCAGCCAGGTTCTGTAGCATTTGTGCGACGGGTTTTGGCTCATCAAAGACTCGCAGCAGTTTCTCGTCGGCGCCAGAAACGAAACGCGTCGCTCCCAACGTGCCGATACAGTTTAGGTCGTAGCCATGAATTTGGGGTCTGGAAAATTCATGCCACGACTTTTGGCCATCCCGAAGCCACGGTGCATGGAGACGTGTTGTTTGATCACCGCTAGTAGAAAGGAGATAGCCTCCGGTGGGCTCCCACTGGATGCCATTGACCGATTGCACATGTCCAGTTATGCCTAGCCTCTGCATCCACATATCGGCGTCGGCGTCGTAGCTCCATGCTCTCCAACTGCCCGTTCGACCAAGACTCACAACTTGTTTGCCGTTTGGAGACCAGAGGCCGATCCAAAACCCACCGGTGCTCCCGGTCGCCGTAGTTGATCCCTTCTGTACACTGATCTCTCCCATCCTTTCGGCGGGTATCCAAACGCCAGAGACAGAGTCTTGTTCCCATATGGTTAGGGTATTGTCCGCGGAAGCAGAGAGGAGCTGTTGGCTTTCGGAGCTCGGATTCCACGCTGTGGTATATATCCAATCCTCATTGCCAAACAGAAGAGCTTCGAACGTGATTGAATACTTATTGCTCATCACTTCGAACTGATGGGCTTTGTTGGAGAGTGTAGGTTCCATTCCTCCTAGGATTGCGTCTTCGTCTTCGGAGATGGATTGGGAAAGTTCTCCCCGATGCAGTCGCCAGAGTCGAATATATTTGTCTTGACTAGATGAAGCAAGCAGGAAGTCCCCCTCCTTGCTCTGCTTGTCCTGTGTGAAGGACAAAGAGCGCACCCAAGCCTCATGGCCGGATAGCACAGCCGAAAGTTTGAACGCAGGAACGTTGGTCGTGGATTCAGCCACGAGTATCTGTATAGCATTGGTCGTGCCAGAGACTGCCAGGACCAAGGCTCCATCTTTGCCGTCCGTCTGGAGTGACTGCAAAGCTAGGGCCAGCGGGAAAAACCGAGGCTTCATGGGAATGGTTTCGACCAACTCCCCATATACCGACTCACCCGCACACAGTCTCCAAATCCTAACAGTCCCATCCGCCGCACCAGATGCAACGATATTCGCACCGGGTGCCACTGCAAGTGTATTGACCGAGCCGGTGTGACCTTCCAAAGTACACACATGGGTAAAGGAACGCTGATCGTCGGAATGAGCTCGCCATAACCGAACTGTGCAATCGACGGAGCCGGTCAGAAGGAAAGTAGCGCCTGTCGTCGGACATGTGTAAAAGCGGACAGCGGTGACCTTGTCGCCATGGCCGACGAGAAGAGAGTAGACCCCGCGTTGAGAATCATCCTGCGCGTAAATTATCAGCATCAACCCCATGGAATTGCGAAAAATCCGACATTATTGATAGGGGCTCACTGTACCGCAGGATCCCAAAGCGCTACGTTATTATCAGCGCCAAAGGCGAGCACCCCCGACCGAACGTCCCAGTCCGCCGCGGCCGGGTGCCGGTTGCCCCCCACGCTGATGTAGTCTGTGGTGATAGAGACCATGGAGCTCGAATTCTGGGCCCAAATCCTATGTGAACTCTTCGCCTAAGCTCTTTGATCCTTTGCGTCGGATAGTCGGAAAATAAATCTGGGGGGGTAGAGAGGTGGAATCACTGTCGCATGGACACAGGAAACGAATAAATTGTTCCGTCGGGGGGGAATTGGGTAATGATTTTTGGTACAGACTGGCTTATCGATAAGCGCGGTCAACCTCTCAAAAGAACCGCAATCTCTTGGGCCATATCCGTACCTCAGATCTCCTTCCCCACCTCGTTCTTTTCGATGCGAATTAGTATCAAACCAAGGTCTCATTGTACCATACCCTAGACTGTTATTAATTGTTATCGCATTCTCTAGCCATGTCTGCTACAAGCGTTTCAAATCAACAGCCCATAGCGGGGCAGAATAGTTCCGAATCTATTCCGATCACAGTCGAGTTCACGTTAGTTTCCCAACCTCGCTAGGAAATCATGGGTCATTCATCGCTGATTGGCATTTTCTTTGATAGAGGGGGTCTGGAGATCCTTTTCGATAACGAGCGCAAACATTCTATTGCTCTCCCCGCGCGACAGAACGAAGGTGGCCGGCCGAACATCTCTTTCCTGCTAGGGTACCTAGTCGACAATCTCATGAAGGACGAGAGAAAAGAGTTATTCATCCTGGAAGGAAATGTGTATGTGGGCCCCTGAGGTGACTAGCGGGATAGTACTAACTGTCGACGGCAGGAGACCGGGCATCCTCGTTTTGATCAACGACGCCGACTGGGAATTGGAGGGAGAAGAGACTTATGAACTCCAACCTGGAGACAATATTGTCTTTGTTTCTACGCTTCACGGAGGCTAGCTTGTGTAGGGATGTACATGCACTATCTATATGTCTCTTGAATGATCGGGAGCCCAGCCAGGGAAACAACGCCGTCCAATCTTATTCCAGGGTGTTTCAGCGCGGAACAGAAGCTTAAACAACATCTTCTACATGCTGCTGAGAAATTCTCTCGGGCTCACGCGGAGTTCGAAGGCCACTCTGGGGTGTCGAGAGGCCGTCTTTTGGGCTGCCTATCCCTCCAATCGAAGGGGTGCTTACCCCGCTCGGAGGCACGGGGATCTTGATGTCCTCAGGTGAACCGGGAATAATTTCCTTGGGGAGGTCAGGAATATGAATCCTGCGTGCCTCGTTCTGGTAGCTTTCAGGAATAATCTACAATTGAGTGTTAGTCGATGTTACTCAATCCTCCGAGGATCCGAATCTCACCTCGATAATTTCGTCCCGTGGGAATTCTAGAAAAGGGATATCCGCAGCATTACATGCCATAAGGTAACCGTAGAGAACCCTTAGAACGCTTTCGTGGGCAATAATGAGGAGATCATTCTGTTCGCGTTCAAGTTCCAGGATAATAGGCTCAAGCCGTACGGCAAGATCGTGATATGACTGCAGTCTTTTATTAGCGCACGATGCGTCTAAGAGAGGCTGGGAACTCACCTCTGCCCGAGGATATCTATGATGGTATGGGTCAAGCTCATGTTTGGCTACCTCGTCGGGATATTCTTCTCGGATCTTCTTCTCGGACATCTTTTCACACACTCCCGGATTCAGTTGGCTGAGCTGGGATCTTTGTCGAACCTTGTACCCAGACTCATGCAAATACTTCGCGGTTTCAACCGTTCTGCGTCTCGTGGAGGTCCAGATCGTCAGTGGCTTCAACACATGATCTGCTCCTTCTTGGTTGATAGTTTCCTGTCGTTCGGATTCTCTGTGCTTCACCAAACATTCGGTCATTTTCTTTGCATAATCCTCCCCTAATTCCGATAAGGAGGCATCTGCTTTGTAGGAACTGGCTCCGGAAGAAACACCGGCCTTGTTGTCCAAATATCGTCAGAATACATGGGGTGAATAAGACGTGGAGGGGGGTGCGCTCACACGTGCGAAGTATGTACGCCGAGACTTGATATGAAGATTCAAGAGATAAAATACGATTCGATTGGAAAGATATCCAAAGCTCCGGTTGTTGACGATCAGTCGTTCTCCAGCATTGATCATCTGCAATGAATTAGCGTATAAGCAACGAAAAGGGTGGCGTGCTTGGACCTTAATGTAATTCAGATCTTTCTCCTCCATAGTTTGAAATTGCGGGATCCGAGCAGTGATACGAGTAAGGTAATGCTTGACTGCATCTTCAGAGGTCCATCCTACGTACTATAACAGAATCAGTGTCCATTTCACAACCGGGAAACAGTAAGCCAAACTCACGTCCGGTGATGATATCTTTACTCTGCGAACATTCTCCTCAATGATACGCTCGTCATCGCACCACGATTCAATGAATAGCGTCTAAGAATAGAATGGGTGAGCCAATTATACTCCTCACGCAACAGTTCTCCAAGACACACATACCTCAATATCATGTTTCGCAAACTCGTTCGCAAGCGATCGCCGTCCGGAGGGCAACGGATTGACAGCATCATATATCGCTATCTGGCCATTCTCTTCATTCAAGAACTGGTATATGTCCTCTCGGCATTTTTTGACGATCTTTTGTCTCAGGAGTACGGAGGAAGCAGACGCTGTTTGAATTAGCAAAAGGACGCAAGGCATAAAGACTAACGATAATCGAAAGCTTCGAGAGTGGAGCTCAAGACAGTCCAGGAGTCCACGAGAATAATGAACCCTTACCGTTCACAAAAAAGTAATCCTCGGGAATATCTTCCCCAAACGGGATTGTGGCACGTCTATAATCTCCCAAATGGAATATCCTTGTTTTGACACCGAGCCTATAAACCAGTCAGAGGAGTTGAGCATCACACTAGGGTCGAGTGATGTACCGACCATCGAAGATATCGTGCCAGTGCTACTGACATGTGCCTGGAGATGACGCGCAAGATCAGCGATAACTATCAGAGAGAGAGAAAATCCAGACAAAGTAGGGTTTCACGAACGTCTTGCCTCTCGCGGGTAGCCCTACTGTAATGATGACAATCCGACCCGAGTGGAACAGTCGTCCAGATTCCGTGCTATACAGTTGAGCCGGGGCTAAATCGGCCTTTTCCGGTAGATCATGGATCGCATCGACAAATGTCGACGACTTGCGTCGAAACCGTGGGGAATTCACCACAATATCTGCCGTTCTAGAAATTATAAGCACATATATCTTGACACCTCAGATAGAGAGGCAACACAATAGGCAGTATAAGTGGATTCATCCGGGTAGCACATCCTCCCTTCCCTTCCCCGCCAATAGCGAGGATACATTCAGGGAGAACGAGAGACAATGCGGGGATCGCTACGGCAAACTCACAATAGTGTATCCATGACGAGGTTTATAATAACCAATATATTCACCAACAGTAGTTCCAGAACAAAGCCTGTTGGTCCGTGGGAACTTTGGGAGCACCTAGTGAGCTAGGAGGCTAAGAGAATGCCGGCTTAAGTCGGACCCGGTGACCTAGGTAGAGAGTCGGGAATTCACTTCAAATCGTAACCGATCCCAGTAGCAGAGGGCGGACTAGCTGATCTTTATTGCTTCGAAAAGGTACGTCGTAGAGAGTTCATAAGAATCGATCCATTCTGAAACTAGACACTGTAAGAGGTGCAATGACAGGAGTGTTGAATAGAAGAGGTCAAGATAAGAGAAATAATTTGGAGGTGTCCGCTGGCGGGGCAAGGTGCGTCACTCCGGGGACCCAAATGGTAGGTAGTAGTAAGTACAGTAGTAACTTTGTCGTGGAGTACCAGAGAGGTAGATTAGTGCTCTTAGCTGCAACGATGATATAATAGCATGAATTAGTACGGAGTAGGTAGTAGTTATCGACCTGACTTGAACCAGCAGTCAACTCAGGCAGCGACAGACAAGCCTGCATGCCTCATGGCCTCAGGCAGCAACCAGCGAGGGCTACGGGAGGACACAGCGACCAGCCGTGCAGAATGGGTGCCGGACCGAACAGGCAGAAAGAACTGATGACTGGCTGGGCTTAACTTTTTTCAACCCCGGGAAGCTCGTCTGAAAGTCTCGGATTCAACGAACTGTCTGGTCCATCCCCCTTCCACTCCGACCTACCTCTCCTTCACCTCCGACAAGAGCAGACCAACGAAGATTCTGTCTGCAATCAACTAGCACCTTTTTGGTGTTCTCTTTTTCTTTCGCAACCCCCTCGACTCCCGTTCTAAGCCTGTCAGTCACTCTCATACCTCGGGGCCCGTTCTCAAATCCTTTCTTGTCCTGTTTTCCAAACACCGTCACCCTCTCCAAATACAGCCCGTTGTCGAAGCTCTTTGACTCATTGATTCCAACAATAACGACCGTCCACTAAACAATTTTCCTTACACAGCTACGATGGCCGACTATTTATCTCCTTTGACGGACAATTCCGTCGCCGCCGCCGTGCAGGATGCATACAACCTCTTCTCGGATCGGAGGGCCGCGCTCGGCCTGTCCAACCCAGGAACATTGGATAACATCGCTAGGGAGGTGCAGAAGGATGTTCTGCTGTCCAACTTCATGTTCTCGGGTCTCCGGGCAGACTTGACCAAGGTCTTTGGCATGTCTCCGCTGTTCCGCGTGTCGCACGCCTTCTCCATGGGCTCGTCCGGGAACTTGCCTCCGTATGCATTCTCGGCCATGTATGGAAGCCCGAAGGTAAAAAACAATATGCCCTCCTATCATCATCTGCTATCGCAATCTGATGGAAATGATGCTAACATTATAATTCCGGCCAAAAGGTCTTCATGCAAGGTAACTTCGGAAGCGATGGTGCTCTCGCCGCTGTTGGCAACTATCGTTGGACTCCCAAGTTGGTCACCAAGACCAACACCCAGATCATGGCCGGCGCGAGCCAGGGTCTGATGCAGATCGACAACGACTACACTGGTGACGATTTTTCGGCATCGATCAAGGCCTTCAACCCGTCTTGCCTGGAAGGTGGCCTGACTGGTATCTTCGTGGGAAGCTACCTTCAGTCCATCACCCCCAGCTTGGCTCTTGGTTTCGAGGCTATCTGGCAGCGTCAGGGTATGAACACTCGTCCGGAGACTGCTCTTTCCTACAGTGCGCGTTACAAGACTAGCGATTGGATCGCCAGTGCTCAGCTGCAGGCCCAGGGTGTCCTCTCTGCCTCCTACTGGCGAAAGCTCGGTGAACGCGTCGAGGCTGGTGTCGATATGAACCTCCAGTTTGCTCCCAACGCTGCCGCTGTCATGATGGGTGGACCTAGCAAGGATGGCACTACTTCCATCGGTGCCAAGTACGACTTCCGTGCTTCTACCTTCCGTGCCCAGGTCGACAGCGCCGGAAAGGTCAGCTGTCTCCTTGAGAAGCGGATAGCGATGCCCTTGGCTCTCACTTTTGCGGGCGAGATTGATCAGGCCAAGGTAAGTTCAAGCCCTGTTTTTCCATTGCGGAAGATCCACCGTGTGTTCGTTGTATTCTAACGCGAATCGTCTTTCTAGCAAACGGCGAAGCTCGGTCTCGCTGTCTCGCTTGAGATCGCCGGTGAAGAATTGATGGAACAGCAGGACAAGCTCGAAGCCCAGGGCAACATGATCCCTCCTCCGTTCTAATTTTCCCACATAACATAACTGCGGTCAATTAGGCTCACCTGGCTCTTGGGGGTGGGAGGGATCCGTCTCGACTCTTCTGCCCACCCATCAGCTTATACCTTTTTCGTCATATTGTTTTATTAGTTCTTCAACTCCTCCGGTGTATGTTTGGAAGATGGTGTATCATCGTGGTTTACTCGGATGCGGCTTGCTGGCCCGGAGACGCAGTCGTTTTGGCGCCACGGAGCCACCCTTTTGTATAGATCCATCTTCGGCATGCTCACACTACCATTCCCGCCTCTCTATCCTTTTTCATGTTATTGCTTCGTCTGTTACCGTTCTCCTGTCTCTCTATCCTTCCTGTTTTCCTCCCATCTCCTTTGATGACTATATTGGCTGAACAACGGGGTCGCTGAGCATGCATGGAACTTTTTGCGGGAATATGGTATTTGGTCATTATTTTTCTTAATTTGTTCATGCATCATAGATGGGCAATGTAAAACAGTTGTTTTGGTCTTTTGTGTGCTTTGTTTGTATTCTGTTTGCAAAAACAAGGCTCCCTTAGGAAACAGTATCGAAGCTTGGATAAAAGCATCCTAAAATCGGGTCGTCGTCTTGATTAATGTAGCAAGTTCAAGGGGTTCTTTCCAAGTCGTGCACCCAGGATTGTAGTCTGCGGCAAGGGTTGCTTCTCCCTGGTTGAGAGAATGGTATATCGGCCTTTGTCGAATCTGTGAGGCTTGAACTTGGATGTTCTTCATCGCTGTGCCTGCCCTATAACCTACCAACCCAGCGAGATAGAGAAATGGAGAGAAAGAAAGAAAGAGTGAGAGAAGAAGAAGGGGGGAAAGAAAGAAAGGAAAAGGGGAATGATCTCCTAAACGTCCACCAAGTCGCGCGATACACAACACATACAAGTCCCCAAATACCTAGGGACCTAGTTTATATTGCTTTTGGCAGCACGGCACACGATTGACAGGCATGACCTGTTCGCTTTGCTACTAGATAGTCAGTCAGACAAAGTGACCGACCGCCAGGCGGGATTACATTATGAAGGCACTACTGCATGTCTCATCCATCTACAAATTCCAGCCTAGAAGTGTGGTCAACACGACTACATACAGTCATCATCGGGAGTATCGTAGCAAGACCCGTAACGGCTAGGGATGAGGTAGCTTGTAGCCGAGTGTTTCGGGCTCTAGGAAGCACGAGTTACTGATATAGCGCTCTACCAGATATTAAGGTGGAGTCAGTAATATATACCCACGCTCCTACAATTTAATCATCATTTCATGCATAACGATCAATAATTTTAATGCCACGACAATTTCCTTGTTCCATGTATATCCTGTATATTTCACTCTTGGATATATGGGGGGCAGAATAACTCGGTTACTCTTGATAATGATATCCTCGAGCATTGAGGTGTACCTTCCATGGATGGAAGTCCCCCACAGCGAGTTATTCCCTATCATTTGCTTACACAACGGGCACCAATTCTGATCAGTTGGCTCATGTGGTCCCATATCATGTTTGCTTTCGTTTCGGAAGGTTTGGGCCACTGCAAAATATCATCATTGGACAGCCAACCTAAATAAGGCAAATAATCAATCCGACGAAAAGACAGTCTGTCACTGACAATTGGTCAAGATGTCGGTCTGGGTGTTGGTAGCGATTTCTCCTCAAGTCTCCACCATGACATCATTACTTTCCAGCGGCCTCTTTTTCGTCGGTGCGCACAACGCTAACTACGTAAACTAAGCAGGCACTTATAACTAGGTAGGTAAACTACGGACTTGATGATTTGCTCCGACTTATCCTCGCTTGCTTTCCTGATTGGTTCTTCCCTTTTTCTCACTGTGCTGGTAATGGACCTGCGCAGCGCCTCTGATGTTGTTTTCTTGGGTTTTAATTCAGGAAATCGTCACTCATCAATCTGTGTGGCAATGGAATGATGTCTGATTTCAGGGTGAGGGGCGAAGATACCTTGTCCAGGTCATACGTTCGGGTACCAACATATAATTTTTCTGGCATAGAATGCAACAATAATAAATAAATATCACACACCACAAGTATAACCACTAGCACAGCCATGATATCATGTGTTACAGGGCTATTAGGCCTTTGCCAATCATATTTACCATCTAGTGAAGTACCAAGACTGTCCTTCAACCTATCTTGCCACTATCTCTTTCTAGTATAGTCGTCAACGTGACATTAATGAAGCTTCACGGATTTTTCTACTTCCAGATGTGCCTAATCAGGGCAGTTCCTGGCTCTCTTGCTCTTCCTAGCTCTCTTGTTGATGACAACCAAATTCCGACAGTTTGATCGGACTCTGTAATGTTCGTCGGGCGAGCACCGAGGCGCAATGACCCGATCGGGGGAAAGGAAGGGAGGTTTCCTTGGGTCGGTCTACTGTCAAGTTCCACCTTATTCATAGAGCTGTTATGCTGCATACACTGCAGTGTGTACTGCTGTATATGTGTCATCTAAGTAAGTAAAAGCACGTCAAGAAGCACCGGTAGCTATAAATAAGAATCTAGTATAAATAACCGTCGAATGACTATCTTACGGTGGGTGCTCATGAGCCTGCTAGGCTGCTGCCCTCTAGAGCTGCAGTCATGCGACATTTATACCTACCGAGAACAATGCATAACCTGTGGGTACAAGACAAGTTACATCATCAATGAATGCTCTGCTACCAAAATCATGGTTATTGGGATCCTCTCTCTACCGGGCGTGGGGTTCTTTGGTGCTAGGCTTAGCTTCTTCTTTCCTCCACAGTCACACCCACCATCGTTCTGCGCCAAAAAAGGAAGGGAACGATATGGAATCTCCTGGCTGTGTTTCATGATATGCTTGGGATTTATTATGAGTAGTGTCAGTGCTGCTGTAATATAGACAGGATGTTTAGTAATATAGAATAGTTATCCAAACTTTGCTTTAGTCAGGTTGATTCATCCCCTCCCATGGCGCGGTTGCGAACATGATTGGTACCATCCACAGGAGGCTGGTAGGATACTATACGGTACTAGGCCACTAGCCTAGGTACCTTAGGTACAACGTTAGGTAAGTTGTGGTACTAGTCACAAGTATTAGTATGGTATTGTTACTAGAGTAAGTCATAGCTTCCTCGGTACCTGTTTGTGCCTATTCAGAGGCTGGGATGGTTTGCTAGGTAGGTAGCATTTCACTCCTAACAGTTCTGACAACTGACTCAGGTACTATACAAAACCCAGCATTTACAGTGTCAAGCCACCCGCCCATGGGAAAACGTTCTAATACACAACGGCATGGTCAGGTGAGCAGGACCCAAAAATCTGATCCAACTGATCGTTGATCGGCTGATGCTTTCTGGCAAGAGTTATGGTCGCAATATCCAGGGAACGGTAAATTATACTTGATCCATAGCAATAGCTCCTACGCCAGCAGAACCCATAGGCATGTTCTTTCCTCTGTCGAATTACCAGTAACTCAAAACTCGAAAGTTATCACTGAATAGATAGTATAACGAATTGACCATCTACCACTAAATCTCCTTCGGGAATTTCTAAATATCCCCCGTCTCTTCCCGGTAAGCAAAAGGCTAAGTTGATATGAGCGCTGTAATCCTCGGGATAACCCCTCCCTCCCACTCTTGGCCAACATAAAAGAATCAGCACGGAGAGAGGTGAGGTCATAGGCTTCTTCTAATGGTTTTCTTTGATCCTGTCCCGGAGCTTGATTTGCTCGCAGTGCACAACGCAGCTCCGAGGGTTGCTCTCATTGACCCATCGCTCAAAGACCTCTTGGCTGCGAAAGTGGGGCAAAGGCAAGCAGCCTGTGATACATGATATAGATGCACGGTTTATCAAATGGTCAGCAACCTATGTATTACCATGTATAACTTGTTCTTGTGGTCTAGCATAGCAAAATTACACTGTTCTAAGTTTCATAATGCTTGTGTCTTGCTCTGCTGGTTGATATATGATTCTACTCACTTGATATGGTACTTGTAATTAGGTACTCCTTCATTACAATGTCTATACTTATATCGACGATATAAGAACACCACCAAGAGACAGCTCTTAGAAGCTTTGGTCAGACTCTCGCCAGGCAGCTGATTATTGCTAGACAAATGAATAGCGAGGTCTGTATCATACATCGGTAATTCAGCAATGGTTAAATCCCTGTATCATCAGCTATTGTAAAGGACTATGTGGGTTTGTCTCTCCCACTGTTTCAACTGGCGGTACTCCTTGCTTGTGTCACTCTCCTACTGAGATTCTTAATATATATGAAAGTGTAATATGAGGCTCTGCAATATAGTGAAAGAAGATCTATCAATTGTAGCTGAAATAATGCCACTCATAATAATACTATACGTAACACCTAACTTACACACGTGCACTTGAGTTCCATTGATATGGTGCTTGCTATTCAACATGATGAAACAGCTATGAGACTTCCAGATATCTATTGAGTACTCATCCGTAGTTCATTGCTTCAAAGAGAAGACAGGAGCCCGTATTGTGGATATTATTCTTGTCCCCATTGTTTATAGAGATAGCTACAAAGTGTATAGTTATCTAATAATTTCTATTTTGATAGCTCCCCACTAAACAACTAGTAGCCAATTCCATACTGCTGCTTAGCTCTGTCTCTCATGCATAGAGCTGTTCAACTTCGCATCCATCTATCTTATGACGCAATCTGGATACAATCCAATAGAAAGTACTTGCCCGCAAGGCTTTCTTACCAAGTTTAGGAGTTCGTGCGTAGATTACTTGCAGGTCCCGATCCAACAATTGAAATAGATCCGATTTACCTTTACAGTTTTATCCAATGGCATGATAGATAGTGCTACATACCGGGCAACCACCTTTCAGCATGGTTGCACTGCCACGATATGTGGCAGAGGATGGCCAATCAGTATTCTCCCAGAAAAATCACATTGGTCACTTGACACTGCGGTAAAAACAGTGGCAAAGTGGTCTGCTTTGATGATAACTTACAACTAAAGGGATATTTATTTTAAACTGTTCATGTAAAGAATTAAAATGATCAACCTGCTCGGTCCCTAGGCATCACGGGATGAATTAAGCATGGTGGTCTATTGAAATGCAATTAAACAAATTAGGCTTATCGTGCTAGTTGGGAGTAAAATACCTCACACTAGTAGGTAGGCTCGCAAGGTCGAGTAGCCGCGTTCCCCATTGACCCTGATGCGCATTGGTGGTATACAACATGCCTGCAGGCCAGAGACCAATTATATTGGGTTTCCTGCTCGGTATCCCTGGGTAGCCCTATATTTAGTAGCTAGTCACTGTAGGATTGTACGCCAAAGCAGTACCGAGTATAGGACCAGGTGTTTATATGTGATGTATGTACTGTTTTCTCAGTAATTGAGTATGTTTGGTAAGTTCGTAGTCTATATCGATGCATATAGAGCGTATTCACTGATGTTAAATTGATGATAGCATTACTGATGACTCTCCCACCCTGTTATAGGCACTATCTATCTGCCTCACTTGCGATAATTTTATCAATGAACATGACATGGAAGAGGCAAAATACCAGCATAATCTTGGTATGCTGGAAGACAGGGACAGATGACATTAGGTAATAATTACACGAGGTACTATGCAGCTTGTATGGGTATTGATTGGTAAAGTGGGGCTGTCTCATTTCACTATGCTTTCATCTTCTTTCATTGCACTGTTTGGGGTGGGCGTTCAAGACCATCACCCCTCCTGTATAATACCATCAAATACTGTATTGGCCTCATCCCTCCTCTATCTAACCCAGTCACAGTGTGACCGTAAGACCGGTGGATCGGTTACCTGGAGGTATCGGTTACCGTTCTCTATCCATACGCTGGGTATCATCAAACATACATACACTAATCATGTACGGGAATAGCTCCATTCTCATGTCGGGTGCCAGAAACAGAAACCATTCCCAGTTGGATATGCCAATGAATCCCAGGTATTATCTCTATTATCCACAGTCCACAGTTCTCTTGACGGGCTCTCCACATAACAACCACAATCTTCACCCGCTTAACACATGCTCATTAATATTATTATCATGACTAAAATGATAGGTAATTGACTAGTGGAGGTTGTTAGTTGCGCTACAAGGCATTGGAACCCCGTACCACTATGTATGTACCTAGTAGAGGTGGGTAGCAAGTGCACACTAACTAGCAACCCTTCCCCCCTCCCTTCTTCCCCCCCGCCATTTCAAACCTTGTCTCCAGTCCTCTATTCTGTAGAGAGGTTACCATATCATTATTGTTGAAGACAGGCTTTGTTTTTTTTCCTTCTCTTTTCTTTCTTTTTTCCTGCCGTTTTTCTTTACAACCGATAGGTCTGTCATATTCTTATTCTTCTTTGAGGTATTTCATATAATTTTTCTGGTTTGAGCATTGTTATTGTAAAGGGAACGTTCGCCTTTCCCCGCTCTGTTTGCTTAGAGAAATACCTTAGGATACAAGACAAATAAAATAGAATAAAACCAACAACAGGAAGTACTCGAATTGATAGATAGATACATATATATATATATCCCTTCCACCACGGAATCCTTGAAATCCAAATAGCTGGTGTGTTGTCCTCCTTCTGGTGCCATTCCCGCGTTCCTGCAGCCCTCGCGTGTTCGGGCTTCGTCGCTCCATCAACGTCACCTCTCACGCTCTCTCTCTCTCTCTCTCTCTCTCTCTCTGTCTCTCCATACCAAACCAAACGAAAACGCAAGATTCCCCTGCCACTGGGAGCTTTGAATCATCTTCCCAACCTTTCCAAATCAGCTGCCCTTTCTTCTTTCTTTTTTTTTTTTCTTACCACCTCTTCACCTTTTTTATTCTTTTCCTTTTTCTACCTTTTTTTTTTTTTACCCATTTCTCCTCTGCTTTCTCTTTTCTCTTTTGTAAACTCCTTACCCAAAACCCAACCCCCCTTTTGTCTTCTTACTGAAGAAAGTGTACCTCCACCGTTACTTTCCGTACTCTTTACCCAAAGTTTCCGCCCTTTTGGCGTTCCCTCCTTCCAGTGGCATTTTGTGTATTTGCGTCTCTTGGCACCCGTTCAGGTCCATTGGCCCTTGGTCTGAGCCTTCCCTTTTACGATTCGCCTGCCCACAAGCCCGCTTCTCAACCTTTCATCTCACGCGCACCTCCACTCAACATCCACCGTTCGGATATTCCGCCCATCCAGAGCACCCCTCCAACTACTTGATGCTCCACCGATTACACCCTGCCCGAAACGGACCTCACGCCTTACTTCTACATCCTTTCCTGCCTTTTGCTACTGAATAACAATACCCCCATTCTCTCGATCCCTACTGCCCAACCTTCCGCTGTTGTAATCCCCACTATAGTCTTCCGTGATGTCACAGAATAGGCCTGGGGTATTCTCGAGTTTACGCATGGGTGGTAAGATGCCGACATCCTCTCCTTTGCTCCTCCACCTGTGACCTTTTTCTCTCCGTGTGCACTCGGTCGCTTGGCCACTTTCTCCGATGGATCGCTGACCTTCGTCCTGTCCTCATACAGAAGTCGTTCGCGAAAAGGTCCAGGATGGACTGACTGGGGAGACCAAGGAGATCTCATATTCACAATGCAAAATCGTCGGCAATGGCTCGTTCGGTGTGGTCTTCCAGACGAAGATGATGCCCAGCGGCGAGGACGCTGCCATCAAACGGGTCCTCCAAGATAAGCGTTTCAAGGTATGGGTTCTCGAGCGCTAAATCCCCTCCCAGTCCCCCCCCGCCGGCCTGTTGACATCCATCCCAGAATCGGGAGCTGCAAATAATGCGGATTGTACGCCACCCCAATATCGTGGAGCTGAAGGCTTTCTATTACTCCAACGGCGAAAGGGTAAGTTGACCGACCGCCCCTCCTCTCCCCCCTTTGCCGCCCGTCGCTTGTGTGGTCGGATGGTCTCAACTAACCGCTTTGTCGCCGATTCGCAGAAGGATGAAGTCTACCTGAATCTCGTTCTTGAGTACGTACCGGAAACGGTGTATCGGGCGTCGCGGTATTTCAACAAGCTCAAAACGACGATGCCAATGTTGGAGGTCAAGCTTTACATCTACCAGCTCTTCCGTTCCTTGGCATATATCCACTCCCAGGGCATCTGCCATCGGGACATCAAGCCCCAAAACCTCCTGGTCGATCTTAGCTCCGGTATCCTGAAGCTGTGTGATTTCGGATCGGCCAAGATACTCGTCGAAAATGAACCGAACGTTTCTTACATCTGTTCGCGCTACTACCGAGCGCCGGAATTGATTTTCGGTGCCACAAACTATACGACAAAGATTGGTACATATTGGTTCCTTTCCCCACGAAACCTCCGTCGGAGATGCTGACCAGGTCTAGATGTGTGGTCGACCGGCTGTGTGATGGCCGAGCTGATGCTAGGCCAGCCTCTCTTCCCTGGCGAGTCGGGCATCGACCAGCTTGTGGAAATCATCAAAGTCTTAGGTACCCCCACTCGGGAACAGATTCGTACAATGAATCCCAACTACATGGAGCATAAGTTTCCCCAGATCAAGCCACACCCCTTCAATAAGGTCGGTCCTCATTTTTTTTGGAGCCAAAATGACTAGAAATTGACTGAACGTTGCCTAGGTCTTCCGGAAAGCTCCACATGAGGCAATCGATTTAATCTCTGCTTTGCTGGAATACACGCCAACGCAGCGTCTTTCCGCGATCGAGGCGATGTGCCATCCGTTCTTCGATGAGCTTAGAGACCCCAACACCCGTTTGGCCGACTCCCGGCATCCCAACAGCCCCCCCAGGGAACTTCCCAACCTCTTCGACTTCTCCAAGCATGGTGCGTCCTCCCATCGTCGTCCTGGTCCTTACTCTTGTTTTGTTCTCCCCATTTGAAATTTCTGCCCGCTGACGGTTGTTGATTATAGAACTCTCCATTGCACCATCGATGAACAACCGGCTCGTCCCTCCACATACCCGCTCGGCACTCGAAGCCCGCGGGCTAGATATCGACAACTTTACCCCCCTTACAAAGGATGAAATGATAGCGCGCCTTGACTGAGTCACTGTGTGCGGGACTCACGAAGAAACACGCCTGTTTTTAGTGCAACCACTTGCACATGCATGCGCTTGAGAATCGGGGTTCCTTCCATATACGAATTTCGTCCATGCATCAGGCAATTTCAAACTGGGAGTCGGTTTAACCGAGCGTGTAGACCTATCCTTTTGACAAGGCATCCAGGAGCTGGCTTCTCTGTGTGGGACAGTGGGTTTGAAATGACGGACAAGAAAACCAGAAAAAAAAGAAAGCAAAAAAAAAAAAAGAAGAAAAAGGAAAAAGAAAGAAAGAAGAGGACGAACCTTTCCTTTCCGATTATGACATTGAAATTGGCAAAACGAAAACAACAACAAAAAAAAAGGGCATCGAGAAGAGGCCAGAACGGGGAAGGAGGGTACAGAAACCGTTTATTTCTTCCAGGGAGGCAATGAATATGGTTGTTATGTTTGCGACTACTGGAAAAGTTTTTTCAAGAGATAGTGGACCATGATACGCAACGGGGGTGGAGGAGCATAGGCTGGGATTTTTGAGGTGTCTGAGACAGCTCTTGGGAGGAAAAAGTGATACCCTTACAGCGTGAGTCTGCCTTCCGGGATTCAAGTCTGCATAGCTTCATATCTCGAGGGGGGTCAAGGAACCACGTTTCCACCAATCCAATGAAGAATAGTGGACAAATGAATGCCTTGCAATTGCATCGGATATTAGAAGGGGCGCCAGATGGACCATGCACGTCGTTGATGTGCCTCTGAATGATTTGAATATAGGTATTGGAGGTGTTCACCCCGATTTGCAGCTCTAGAAACTCCCCTTTACGGCTTTTCATTGAATTTTTTTTTTCGTTTCTTTTCTTTCTTTCCTTTCTTTTTCTCGTGTTTGCTTCGCTTACAGCTATGTTTTTTGTTGTGTTTTATAGGCATCATACTTGCACTTATCCTGATTCCCATTGACTTGGCTCTGAGAACTACTACATTACTCAACTTGGCCGAAGATGAAATTACCTATGTCACCTAATTCCGAAAGCAGACAACTTGATTTTCTTTGACGTCCTGTTTATTTCTTTGTCCTTATTGATAGTCTAGTGCTCGGGCTCCTTTGTGCATGCGTGCGTGTTTTCATGGCCTTGTGCTTGATGGTGGGTATACACAGCTGGGTACAGTGCTTGACTCACGATTCTACTGTTCAGTATGATCTACCTTTATAGCAAGGTCTGGATTATTCAAACAGCTTCGCATTTCATCCATACTACCCATCATAGTGCTCCCTTTACGAAGTATTTAAGGTCCCGGTTTTCAAGGCTCCAGAATGTGTCACTGACACCCAGTATTCCACTATGTATCCCACAAGCTCTATTTGCAGAATACTTGTCCTTGCAATAAGCTGTATGTCTTTTCTTCATGGACATATGATCTGTGATATTGTTCAATACTTTCTTAAGTCGTAGGAGGCATTATGCACGTTTTATCATACAGCAGATCGGCGGTTATGTAATTGGTGGAGCGGAATATCTCTCTCTCCGGAATGGCATAGCTCAGCGCATGTTACTTACCTACCTACCTACAATGTTTTAAGTTCTTGAAGCGGATTGACTGCTCATAGCTTAATTCTAACGCTACACCCAATACATTTCCGGTCAGCGGACTGAACATTTGTTTTGTGGAATTGCGCATAAATTCTGATATCTTTTTTTTTGCTTTGATACCGAGTTGGCACCGTTCAGTCGCGCGATCGTAGCATCTGGGAGCTATGGCCGACTACGAACGCCGACACAATGGCGCCAGGGGTGGTGGTGGTGGTGGGCGTAAACGGCGCTTTAGAGGTTCGTCATGCTTTGCGGCCGGACAGCGGTCCTCAATTGCTTTCGCGATAGTATATGGATTGCCTTTGCTGACTTTTTGTTCGCCAGAGGACGACGACTACGACCGTCGACAGAGGCGCCGATACGAGGAGCCTTTGGTTGCTAAAATCCGACGACAGCTGCTTACAATTGCTGAATCCGTACGATCCCGAGATTTTATGGCGCTTTTGGTCTATATGCTACAGTTTTGCATGGCTAACGCTCTTGTTATAGGCGGCCCGACGAGCGGACGACGATGCGGTAAATATCGCCAGAAGCGTGACGGAGAACTCTGAGAATGAGGAAATAAAAAATACTTTCATTGACATTGTTCTTGATCTGTATGTTGACTCGTCTTATACCGTTGGGTTTGCAATTTGTGAACTAATGGATTTGTTGCCAGTACGCTCGAACAACCACTGAAGATCCCCTTCCTCGCGACGACCGTTCTTGTTGTCAACAACCTGAAGTCGGAGGTCTGCTCGGAGGTCCTCCAGAAGGCGGTTAACCTTCTGGGCGAATATCTCGATGCCGGCGCGTGGCGCGAAGTAAAATTGCTGCTTCGACTTCTGGGATGCCTGCAGTGTATCTTCGAAGGAGACGGTATTTTTCCCATACTAGACGAGTTATTCTCACGCGCCGTCGACCTGCAGACTGCATCTTCCGATGATGTGAGTCGCCTTTTGACGATTTGAAAGTACGCCCGCTGATTTTTGTTTTGTAGGTCCTCGGCTTGGAGCTGGTGAAGATCATCCTTTTCACCATCCCGTACATAATGGCTTCGCCGGCCACTGGATATGAGCAACAGGCATCAGCTCTTCTTGAAAAGACGGATGTCATTACTTCCACACCCCACGCTCTTGTCGACATGGTCAATCCTATTGCCCTCGGCGATGGTCGAACGGATGCAGTACCAAGCGTCATCAGCCTCCTACAAAGTCAGCTCCAGGGCGAGTCCAGTCGCGGCTGGGAGCTTGCCTGTCTTCCTCGGCCCTGGAAAGGGGTGCGGATCAATGAGGAAGACGAGCAGGCCCCCGCGGAATTCGGCCCCAAGTGCCCTCTTCCTGAGATCTCCATCCCCAACCCTGTACGGGCTGGCAAGAGGGCGATCTACCCCGAGGTTCACCTTTCCGTCTACGCAGACCAGGATTTCGAAACTGTTCCCCCGACCTCGAATATCGCATCATCTCTGTTGCGTGATGCGCTTGTGGATACGATCAATATTCTGGATTTCAACCGTATTGCGACTGCCAAGTATCTGATCGACGTGGATTGTTACTTCACGCCCCATATTTTCGTGAAACGCGCAACGCCTTTTGATCGGCTGCGCGATATTCCGGACGACCGTCCAACGTGGAAACCCGAAGATGTCGCCGTGGATGCTGTCTTTTCTCAGCTCTTCCAGCTGCCGTCTCCGGAGCATAAACTCGTTTACTACCATTCGGTACTCACTGAATGCTGTAAGATTGGCCCAGCTGCTATTGCCCCTAGCTTGGGGCGAGCTATTCGATTCCTGTATCGCAGCTTGGATACGATCGATTTGGACCTCAGCCACCGATTTTTGGATTGGTTCGCTCATCACTTGAGCAACTTTGGTTTCACATGGAAATGGAGCGAATGGTAAGTTTTCCAATCACAGTGCGAGACTTATTGAGGGAGGTTCTAATTATCTGTGTAGGGTCGATGATCTTGACCTTCCGCTCAACCATCCAAAGATGGCTTTTATCACCGGTGCTCTCGACAAAGAGATTCGCCTGAGCTTTGCGCAGCGGATCAGAGGCACCCTCCTAGACTCTTACCAACATTTAATAACAGAGGGGAAGGAAAAGGACACCCCCGACTTCAAGTACTTGGAGGACAGTAAGTATCTCGGCGTCAATACCTGTGATTATATGAGACAAGTGCTAATTTCTTCAGCTACCCCGTATGCCAACGAGGGCAAAGAACTGATGCAACTTATCCGTAAGAAAGCAACGGATGAGGAGATCCAGCCGGTGATCGCTTCCATTGAAGAGCAGGCCAAGGGCTTGGGCGTCGAAGACCCCATGCTCCCTTCCACAGACGCCTTCGTAACCGCCATATGCTTCGTTGGATCCAAGTCCCTCTCGCACGTCCTGTCATGCATCGAGCGGAACAAGGAGCGGCTCCTAGCCATTGGTCCCAAGTCCCCGGCTGCCCGTCGTCAAATCATCACCTCAGTCATGGAGTACTGGGCGGACCAACCGGGCATCGGCATCAACATCATCGACAAACTGCTCAACTACACCATCCTCACACCCCTCTCCGTCATCGAATGGGCCCTCGTGGACAAACTCGACGCGGGAGCGATCCTCGCCAAGACCCACGTCTTCGAGATGGTCTCCGCAACAGTCGGCAAGGTCACCAACCGCCTCCGCCAGATCGTCGCCGCGCGGACCCAGCCCGGCCTCTACGAGCCCCAGCTCAGCCTCCTCGACGAGACCCTGAAGCGCGAAAACGCCGACATGCAGTCCCTCTTCACCGTCATCGAAGACAGAGTCGTCTCCGTCGCGGGGGGCAGCAACGACGAGCTCATGGAGCGCGGAGACGGCAGCGGCAATCTCCCCGAGGACGAAATCATCCGCCAGTGGGGCCAGCGATGGCTCAGAGCTTTCCGCCGCAAGGCTGCCGTTGAACAGGCCTTTATCGCTGAGGCCATGGCCACTGCTACCCCCGTTGGCACCACGGCTCCTCCGGCCGAGCATCCTACCTCTGCGGGAGATGGAGATATGGACGTTACGGATGCGGATGCGGATGCGGATGCGGATGCGGGTGCGGGTGCGGATGCGAATGCGGATGCGCAGGCTTCTTGAAACATGAAAACCATCCCGGGTGAATAGGCTTGATGTCTAACTTGTCAGCATGGTCGACCTGTTGGCTTTCTTTCTCGTAGGGGGGGGACTTGTATTCTTGTTGCTTTGTGTATTGCTGTATACATACATGCTGATAGCGATGAACAATTTAATCTACTGAATCTGTCAAATCTGTCGTTGTAATGCGTATCATCATTTGTCTATTCTTACTAGCATGGCAATATATATATATATTGTACATGACCCTTCGATAAGCTGTGGACTAATAGAAGTAGTTTCGAGCTGGGGTCTAGGCTGTCACTTTATACCTTTTTCTTTTGTCTACTTTATGTACTAGATATTCTACTCAGATCGGAGAAGGGGGGAGATGCGAGAGAAAGTGTCTTTGCTTTCTGCCGGACTATATACCTAAGTCAAACACCCAAGGTTTCCATTCCCCATATTGACATTAAAAAAGGAACAACAAGAAGAAAGAAAGAGGAAGAGAAGAAGAGAAGGATTCTCAAACATATCATATGTACAGACATGCAAAGTAGTCCGATTAACCAGAGCCTTCGTCCCAAACAACTGCACTGCATCATTGTACCACGATTTGGACAACCAACGTTATGAAATAGAGCCCGGAACGTAGAGAAAAGAGAGAAGAAAAAGTGGGGGGGGGGGGGGGAGGAGGAAAGAAAAGTTATTACAATAATGTATATGCTATATTACAAGATTCAAAGGGTAAGATGTATGCCACAGAACACATACCACTCATGGCTCAGTTGAAAGTAAAGAAAACCACTCGGTGAAGCTTTCGCCGCAATCCAGCGTCGTCACCTACGACCATTTTGTTGGAAGATTCCTCTTTCTCATTGACTCGTTGAGTTCGTTTATTCTTCTTCTCGCATTTCAATGATTCGTATCACGAGAGCCGGGGTATATTCGGATGTGCGGTTATCGCGACAGAAAGTCAAGGTATAATTCATGATAGGGCGTTCGATACCGGAGACAAAGCTCGGAGACCGCGCAAAAGAACCGAGGGATCAGAGTTCCTTCTTGGATTCCGCGAGGTATTTGCGATCATCCTCGCCTTCGACGTCCTTGAGGATGGTCTCCATTTCTTTGGTCTGTCGCTGCCACTCTTTCTGGTCCATCTTGGTTTCGCGCCGGAAGAGCTCCTCGTTCGGCTGTCGGTAGCTACCGCCGAGACGGTCCCATAAGGTGGTGAACTGTCCGTAGTTGTAGTTGAAGTAGAGGTGGTGCATGGTATGGCAGGCAGCGCCGTTCACGACCGGGCTGTTGGCAACATACTCCCCGTCGTGAATCAGAACCGTCCAGAAGTTGATGAAACCGAACAGTAAGACATATGCGACTTTCTGGAGCGGGAAGATGAACGGGAATAGATGGTAGGGGACGCTTTGGGACCACCCATCCAAGGGATGAAAGGCATGCGAGGCAAATGGGCTCGGCATGATCCATTTGTGATGAGGTTTATGCAGTGTTTTGTAGATCGATGGATGGTGTAGGCCGCGATGGATCCAGTAGATGCAGAAATCGGTGAAAGCGATGAATAGCGGGAATTGCAGGATACTGTAATACGGGAAAGGCTCTTCAGAGAAACCATCGTAGAGTTTCGCATAGCCTCGGACCTCAGCGACCAAGAAGGGAGCGGTCAAAAGAGACATGACCGGCATGGATTGCATTGTCTGGGCGATCTCCATGGAGATCTGGTTTTTGAGAAATTTGGGGTGCTTGACGGTGGTCTTATCCCAGACGAAGATGTACGATAAAGTTGCGGATATAAAGTAGACGATGATCCCGAAAATCCTATACATCGCGCATCACAGTCAGAACCTGGGGAGGAAGCGAGTCATTGGCGGGGGAGAAAGGCGCGGAGGGTTGCATACCAGACAATCAAGAAGAAGCTCAGGGCTTGACGGTAGATGTTGTTTCGCGGCCACGCACTCATGTAGGCATACTTGGAGGGTTCCAGATAGATCCACTGTGTGGCCGGTTCATAGGCAAACGGTTTGGAAGCACCAAATAAGGACAGAGTGCTGTTGGCTGCATTGTTGAAGCCAGGGAGTGTAACGGAGGAGGAGAGCGAGGCCGGAAGGAGGGAGGCGTATAATCGGTCCGCGATGAAGGTGTCCCAAATTTCGAGGGCGATATCCATGATGCCGTTCTAGTGGATTGATCGATGCCTGGCAAAGGACTTGAAGAGGAACGGAGCCCGGGAGGGGGAGTGGTGGGGGTTGTTTAAAAGAAGAAGAAAGAAATTATGGGGGAACGGAGATTCGGTCTTTTCTCCTTAATACAAGCAAGGGTCTGGGGACTTGCAGACAACCACGGTTGGCCATGGATCAATTTCCTATTATGCTCCTGACAACGAGGTGCTGTCCATGTTACAATCACCGTCTGATTTTACACACCATCATGTTTAACCAAGTCTCAGTTTGGGTAGACTTGACTCGAGTTGGGATTTGTAGGAAAATCTACCCTGACAGTGTATACTCTAATGATAATGTATCTATCGTTTGTTTGACTTGTGGTCAATGGTATATATCATCCGTTATACACGAGGATAGCCCACGAGGATTGACAATCTTGAAGAACGAGAAACTCGTGGGATTCGTGTCCCATATATCTCGAGATGAAAGTGACATTGGATATACTCCGTCCAAGACTATGATCATTATGGGTTAGCCTGGGGTGGTACCTGCATAACACCCACTACGCCAATGATATGTACGAAAGTACCATAGGTATTGGATCGTTGTTCCAGCCACCGTTTGTATCCCAGATGAGAGCTCGATTGAGATTCAAGAGGAGGTTGTACATATGATAGGTAATTGACAGAGGGTGTCATCATAATTTACGTGATATTATCCTTTCTGGTATTGATGCAACGGCTTACGTACACAGACACCTGACTCTATACAGCCTGAGGCATCTTGAACTCTAGACCAGGAATACAATGAATACAATTGAGACAACCTGAATACCTTCAAGACCAATTTCTCAATGCTCATGAATTGACTTTAAATAGTCAATCTTAACGTAACGGCTTTTCTCACTTCACGCCAACCCGAGCAACCAAAGCTTTCAGCCGCCCGTTTTTGCCCCCATCCGACCCAGGGATCCATTGGAGGGACCCAAATCCCACTTAACCCGATGGAAATTAAGTCGCCAGACCACTGACTCTTCTAGGTTACCCACTTCTGGTCTCCTCTTCCTTCTTTCCCCTCTTGTCTTCCTGCTGCTGGTTCATGTGTTCTAAACTTCTGATCCCAGCCCAATCTAGGACCGTGCACTCCTTACCTAATCAATCCCGGTCCTCACCAACTGACTTGTCTCTCTCTGCTCTGCCATCTTCATTCGGCTCTCTCCGTCTTCCTCATCGTCCTTCCTTTCTCCCTTTCCATCCGTTCTCGATTCTCCCCCCTTGTCTGGAGCCACGTCGCCAACGGTCTCCTTAATTCGATTACATCGTAGCGCTTGGTCCGTACGGGCGCGCTGTATGTGATGCGCCTGCATTAACCTCACTGCCAACCCGTCTCTGCCGTCCTCTGTTCGGCTATTCTGGTCTTCATCGACCCCCATCGTCTATCGTCGCGATCCAGCCCTTGGAGGCTCGAACCTGCCTGTGCAAACTCCCTTTGAATTCCATCTCCTCGACGCGCTCTCTCACCGTTGAGCGACCGGAAAGAATATCCTCCTGGCCGCATAAGGAGCGAAGAAGAGAAGAGAAAAGCAACGGACAAAAAAAGCAAAAGGACTGCTACGCGCCATGTACAACACACATCGCGGGATGGTTCCCCCCCCGAACTCCCGTCTGACGGAGTTACTGGATCAACTGCGCCAGGAATTCGAGACCCAAACGCGGAGTACTGGCGAGTTTGAGCACCAGCGTACGTGTGTGTCTTTCTTACTCCTGCCTGTTTATATGCAGTTCGCCCTCGACCGTTGCGTGATGAAGCTGGTGTGACTCCCAATGGAAGAACTGTATGGTTTCTTGCAAGGGCGTTTCATCAGCTCCGTCTGTGACCACTCATCCTGTTTCGAACGGGATCAGTGTTCCGCATCGTGTCGGGGCGTCGGGGTTCTCTGTCGAACGTGGTTCGCTGACCTATCTTCCTTTAGTGACCGGACAGCTCCAGGAGATGGAGATGATCCGACAGAAGGTCTATCAACTGGAACAAGCGCAAATCAAGATGAAGCAAGAGTATGTCTTCTGCCATGGCTCTCCCCAATGATTGTTTCCCCAAGATTAATCATTGGCTTCTTCTAGATATGAAAATGAGCTGCGAGTGTTGCGACACGAGCTCGAAGCCCGCGGTGTTCAGACTGTGTCTCACATTGCCGGCCCTGCGCAGCATGCGGGCCCTTCCCAGGCCCCCCACCCGCTCTGGGCCATGGCCCTAGCAACCTGTTCGGTGGGATTATGACCAACCAAGGAGGTAGTGGTCCCGGTCTTGCCCCTCCCCCTCCCCAGGATCAGCAGCCTCCCCAGCATACCCTTCAACAGCCTGCTCCCGCCGCTCAGCCAGGAGCGCCGCCACAGACGCAGAGCTCTTTTGGAGGATATCAGTCTGGTGCTGCTGTGAACGGTATGTTATGACTGTGTTTTCGATGGGTTCTCTGATCTTCTGACCGTGTGTGTCTCGCTTTCCCGTTAGGTTATGGCCCTCCTCCCCCGCCAACCGCATCTCCTGGTCCCGGTAAAAGACCCCGCGCCCCTGGTGCGCCTGCTACCCCGCAGCAGAGTCACCAGCTTGGGTACCCAGACCCTCGGGTTTCGCCTCAGTTGGCCCGCCCCACTCCCCCCAACGCCGCCATCGTTCGCGACCACCCGGGGAATATGCTGGCCAACTGGAACCCCGACGACTTGCCTGCCTCGCAAAAGCGTGAGGGTGCCGATTGGTACGCCGTGTTCAACCCCGAGGTGCAACGCGTGCTGGATGTGGAGCTGGTCCACCACCTGGTCCATGACAGTGTCGTTTGCTGCGTTCGTTTCAGTCGCGATGGCAAGTACCTTGCCACCGGCTGCAACCGCTCGGCTCAGATCTTCGACGTGACCACCGGCCAGAACGTGGCCACTTTGCAGGACGAAAACGTGGACAAGACAGGTGATCTCTACATTCGCAGTGTCTGCTTCAGCCCCGATGGCAAGTACCTCGCGACCGGCGCCGAGGATAAGCAGATTCGCGTAAGTTTGTTTTTACTCTCCTGGTTCAAGAGGGCGGACAAATCTCTTTGCCATTGGTCCATGCTAATATTGCGGCATAGGTTTGGGATATCGCTGCGCGAACCATCAAGCACATCTTCAGCGGCCACGAGCAAGATATCTACTCCCTTGACTTCGCCGGAAATGGTCGGTACATCGCGTCCGGTAGCGGCGACAAGACCGTGCGACTCTGGGATATTATGGAGGGCAAGTTGATCTACACTCTGAGCATCGAGGACGGCGTGACCACGGTGGCGATGTCTCCCGATGGCCACTACGTCGCCGCCGGTTCTCTGGACAAGAGCGTCCGCGTCTGGGATACCACCACCGGCTACCTGGTGGAACGCCTGGAGAACCCCGAGGGTCACAAGGATAGCGTTTACTCGGTCGCCTTCGCTCCCAATGGCCGCGACCTTGTCAGTGGCAGTCTGGACAAGACCATCAAGCTTTGGGAGCTCAGCGTTCCCCGAGGCAGCTATTCCAACAGCGGTATCAAGGCCAGCAAATGCGTGCGAACCTTTGAAGGTCATAAGGTAGGTCGGCTCGTTACTTGTCGTGTGCTGTTCCGTGTCTGACCTGGAATTTCTCTGAAAATAGGACTTTGTGCTCAGCGTGTGTCTGACTCCTGATGGACACTGGGTCATGAGTGGTTCCAAAGATCGCGGCGTCCAGTTCTGGGACCCGATCACCGGTAATGCGCAGATGATGTTGCAAGGCCACAAGAACTCCGGTACCGTCACCCATCGTCATGCGGATTGATTTTTTATCGTATTCCATCATTATATGGTTCTAACTGTGAACAGTCATTTCGGTTGCACCCAGCCCTACGAACAACCTCTTTGCCACTGGCAGTGGTGACATGCGTGCGAGAATTTGGAGGTAATTATCCGTTCTTACTATTCCTTGTTTCTCGTTCTCCCTGTCTTTGGCCCGTCACATCTGGGTCCTTTTTATCACATGTCACTGACTGACCCTTTCTTGTTCAGATACTCCACTTACACCGGGCGGTGATGGGGTCTGTTTCAGACCCCCTACGGCAAAGGGCCCTGCTCGCCACCCCTTCCTAAATCTGGTACTATCTGACATGTTTATTTCAACGGGCCTGCGGGCGAATTTGCTTTATCGAGCGGTGGCAGTGAATCCATTCCGTCACATGAAACGTTTTGGGTACAATGTCTCGTCTTCGGGGAAGGACGTGGAGTGGTTAGGAACAATGCGCCAAAATGCTGTACGGATAGTCGCTTCGATGTTTTTGCTTTCTAATATTCTCGTTTGCTCCTTTTGTCCCCGTTATCGTTGCGCGTGGTTTGGAACTCGGTCTTATCGATATGTCTGGTACTCAATTTGACTTGGAAGAGTTGAAAGCTGCCCACGCCCGAATGTGCATGACCTGGAGATCCGGGCTCGCCATGCTGACGTTTATCGTAAGGCATCCCTGTGAGTGTATCGCGGGGCCAACGTAGTCGTTTTTTTTTTTAGCAGGCGGAGAGCAGGCTCAAGTAGTGTACCTGAGCAGGAATGTACGCCATTGCCATTGCTTTTGGTGATATTACGCTCGTCAGTGAACAGAACCACTCCCTTGATATAAACCCAACCCTTGCAGTCCGAAAAGGGTATAAACCAGTAGATACTATGCCGAGTATAGGACATGCTAGAATGATGTAACTACACAGGACACATCCAGCACCAAGGTGTCGAAGCACACCGGTCCACGAATGGTACCTACCAAGCGGACAGCGATATCGGTCACGACCACTTCGCCCTGACGATCACGAGGCGGGCGGCTGGCGGGCGTAATTCTATTCCCATGAGGTGCATGCTTTATCCTATTCTTTTTCTTTTTTTGTTCTGCCTTGTTTGCTCCAGTCTTTTTGTTCTATTTTACTTATTCTACTCTTCTATATAGATATATCTATTATTCCCTCTCCCATTTTAATTTATTTCATGTGTCCCTAAGAAAGAGGAAAGACATGAGAGATCCGAAGATCAGATCAGATTAGCGCCAAGTCGTGTCATGTCATCTCCCTGCAGCCGTGGGATTTCCGGGGCCATTGGCGGCTAACTGGGAATTTCGAGATCAAGCTAACTTTTACATACATACTAGTTAGTAGGTACAGTACTCCGCAGTTGGATGTACAGCAATGCCCTGGTAATATCTGGCTGACTTGATCCAAGGTTGACGAAAGCTTGATTGGTTGCTGAGCACCTGAAATGGACATGCGCCTGGAATGTCTGCTCCTCATGGAACCCACATGAGTGACAACTGAATACCGAGATCCGGTCACTGCACTGCTAAGACCTATCTATACCTCATGTTGAGTATACTCCGTAGGTCCTAGTAGGGTACTACCGCACAGGATAACCCTTTCCAGCTAGCTCCATCTGTCGACTACAGACGGGTCAAGCCGTATTGAAACGACAGTCCAGGGGCTTGATTCGACTAGGGAATGATGGTTACAGTCAAGAGACTCAAGACAGAAGAACCGCAGCAATAAACTCCGTACAGGAAGACACCTCGTTCAATTAAAGTTACGGGTTCTCCTGCATCTCGCCATCTCTACCAGACCTCATGTGTTGGTGGAGCAGGCCTTCTTTGTCGTGAGTGTATTCGTTTCTTTTCTTTGCTTTATTGTCTATGTCGGATCCTATTTTGTTTTTTCTTTTCGATTGATTGTTATTATTGTGGTGATGATAATCTGGTGGAGCAAGCTGAGCCATAAGATCGCAGAAATCGATAGATCACAAACATCTGCATTTTCCCGCCAATTTTTTCTTGTTTCTCTGTTCCGATCGTCCTTCTTAGCGCTAACCAACTAACTACTAAGTAAGTAAGTAAGTAACTAACTAATAACTATCCTGCGCGTCGGATCTCGAAATTCGAAATTGCCATTTGTCGCGATTCACACCGGTCTTAGCATGTCTTGCTTGACTTGTGCCTGCGACTGTAGCTAGCTAGCGCTTCATTGGAGGCGTCCATCGCGTTCATGGATTAATTATATCTCGATTCGATGCGCGCAAATCGTGGGAAAAGGGACAGTGGACTGACTGGCTGGATTGGGCTGCAATCGGGCAGATCGGGGCTGGCGTGCATGTATGTCAATGCTACTTTTGATCCTAATTTGTTTTGTCTATCGATATCCTCCGTATAGAGTGCTCTGTACGGAGTAAATGTACGTGTATGTGTATGAAGCACATATAACAAGATGTCAGTCACTGCGATGATAGTGATACATCCGTCCTGGGTATCCGTAGTCTAAAACCATCGCAGCTCCAATACGGACGAGATCACCCTGAAATTGAGTCCCTTAGTGCCTGTCCTGTTCCATTCAGCCAGGATCTCGAGCACTGATTGGGTCCCCTCTGGCCACTGTCCAGCCTCCCCAGTCCAGTCCCCACTACTGTCGGTCACCAGGGCGCGGTAGGTAGGGACTAGGGAGGACTGACTCCACCGATGTAGGGACTGTATACTCTTTCATACGGTGGGTGTTACATAGATCTTTTCATACATGATTCATCTATATGTATAGGGGTATATTCTATATACGAGGAAGTTGTCAATCTAACTTTTCGGTTGATCCGAGGGGAAAGAAGGCCCGGGCCGGGACGCCAACGAGGGGGGAAATACGGAGACATGGTTTCCCTTGGGAGGGATTAGTAGATGAGGAAAGTCTTTGTGATCAGCCATCTGGTTTGTTTTTTTTTTTTTTTTTTTTTTTTTTTTTTTTTTTTTTAATGATATTGTTATTTATTATTTGTTTGGGCGGCAAATCTGGGTCGTCTGTGATATATCGACTTGGAATCCCATCGTGATCGGACGGACTAACTAAGTAACAAGAAGGAAGGGTCACTCTTACGTCATGTCCTTGACCAATGATGGTTTTGACTGCCATAACGGAGTAAATTCTGGAGTATTAGGGCGGAAAGCTGAGACGATGGCCATCACAATGCAAGATATAGCGGATACAATGCTTGCAGGATGGCGGGATCGTTCATTGTTGGTAATTTGGTACGGAGATGATCGGACACTAGGATTGATGGGTTGCAATCAAGAGTATACTAGGTAGGAGTCGTCATGATTGCATGATTAGCATTGCAACTCCGAGTGATGGGGGAGAATCGTAATTGTTAAAAACAACCTGGACTAGGATTAGGGAGCTTTAAGGTGAGGCGGCTAGTTAGAAAAACTAGAATAATAGTATAAAGATGAAAATAACATGATTCATAAAAAAAGAAAACACGCATACACACATGAGAAGTAAAAAAAGACCACAATCTCAACACTAACAAGAGAAAAAATGATCTTGATCCCCAATGAAATCAACGGACAAGACCTCAGCTGCATGGACCAGTTTCCCAAATGGCGGCAGGATTCCAACCTATCAAGAATTGTCGCCAGTGGCGGCTGCTGGAAAGACCACTTAGTATCTCCGTACTACTCCATACGTTAGCAGTCAATAAGCAGTCAGTGGAGAAGAGAGAAAAAAAAGGCCGGACTCCTCCTGGTGGGGCCAAAGTCTCTATCAACAAATCATCCTGCATCCATTTCCACACTATTGATCACCCGCCGCGGACCGTCCGTTCTATAGCTCAGCCGGCTAGACCCTGTCACGTTGGTGGGGGCTGGCTAAGGCTAGATGTAAGAAATAAGACACACGACGAAACGGATTCGAGTCGGAGAGTCAGTTGTAGGAATGGAAATTGGAAATTCAAGAATTCGAGGGGGAAAGTACTAAATAATATACGACCTTCGTATAGGGGTGACACGATATAAAGTCCAGAAATAGCGGGATTTCTCTTCTCACGATGCAGGTGGAAATGTCGATCCCTGGCCAGATCAATTGGCAGTATCATCGTCGGTACTTTGTGCGTATTCCAAATTTTGGTTTCAAACTATTTCGTATATTTCAATTTGGTATATTTCAAGTCCCGTCCTCCTTAATGTCAAAACAGCTGGCAATGCCACTGGTTTCGGGTGAGCCGGGTCATCTTGCAGCATCGCGCCTGTATCCACAACCAGTTGAGATTGACTGACTGACGGGCTTACATCAGAAGGGAGGTCGATGCAGGGTGACGATGACCATGTCAAGCCACAACCACAAGTTTCAAGATCGTCATCGCATCCACCTGATAGCCTTGTCCACTGGCGGAGGATTGGATTAGGGGGTATCCCAGTGGATTAGGTTCAACATCACTGGGAGGATGCCAATACGAGGAGGTTGAATGATGATGTCCTCTCCTGTGTCACCGAAATACTGGGTGGACTTCATAGGTCGGAGGTACCATCTACTTTGCATGGGAGCTTACCCTCCCTGAGGACGAAAGTACTCTCCTGTCTCCACCAACAGAAGCTAAGTTTTGGCGTAGTCAGGTACTATTCAGACTACGAGATGAAGGGCTACCAGTCACAGCGTGGGATTGTGAAGCTGGATGATATTCATTTGTTGAAAGTGCCAGCCCCATGTCCCCGGCCCACTCTGCTGGGTCAGATGATATGTGATTCCTAGCCTGGGGTATTAAGAGCTGTCAGTGGTGAGAATGGCGTGGCAATCTAATTATTTATTCAGTATTATAGGTTGTCGGCTCTATCCACACGCCTGAGCCGTGGATTTTGATATGAACTGTATAATACGAATATTTCAGGGATACTGATCTCAAACAGTATGGGATAATACCTCGAGGACAGAGCTCTGTTGTCTTCATAAACAATTAACACTATCTCTTGAGCAGTGTTCAATGTAATGATTTAGATACCTATTTAGGTACCTGGGTCACTGGGGATCTGACCTAGGTATACAATAAGACTGCCCAGCTGAGCTCACTCGTCATTGAGTGAACTATTCAAGGAGGACTCCGTAGTCATAATTCATCTATCAAAAACTCCGAGCATCAGGGGCAAGATCAAGATGAATATAATCCCGGTCCGAATAATCTCAATGTAGCTCCCCTGTCTCATCGAGATGATGCGTGATTGTCAGCCTAGTTGCACCGGGATATGACGCGTTCCACCAGGAAAGCCTCATTAGAAGCTCCACGATCCAACATCCTCGTACCTGTACGTAGTATTCATGGTAGATCTTTACCTCTGCTCCTATTCTTTGCCTCTGTACAGAGTCGTAATAGGTGTTCTCATTGTGTATGGACTGACTCTATCCAGAAATACAGGTATATCTGTTTCTGACTATTCGATGAATTACTGCTCGTTCCCTGTTCCCTGTCCTTCAATTTATGAACGGGGGAGGTCCGGCTGGAATGATCACTGGCTCCCCACGAAGACTAGACCAGACACTAGTTGATTTAAGGCAGTGGATCTCAGGCTCGTTCCTTCTGGAGAGGAGTGATACCTGCTAACTATCAATGGGAAGACCCGACTTTTCTCTTCCTCGTTGTCATTCTCTTTTTTTTTTTTTTTTTTTTTTTTTTTTTTGGCAGCCTACGCAGTATCTGACCTATCTATTGGTATTTAGCACGGTATGAACATTGGAAAAATACTGTAAAGAATAGACGGAGTTTGAAATCACGGTCTTGATAACTTTACACCATCCCCTTTCTCTGAGATTTGATTGATAAATTGAACTTTGTGGAGAAAAAGATCTTAGAGATTGAAGCGTAATATTTACCAACATATCCAACTCCTTTTCCCTCCTTTCTCTCTATTTCTTTCCTCTGATCTATTGATCTATCGGTATTTTACTCCAGCTCAGCCCCAATGTCCACCGTAAAATACAAATACGGTATACTGTTGGTCTATAAACCTCCAGCTAGTATTAGCCAGCCGGCCGGATCCCTGTTGTTGTCGTCCACCCCCGCCGCTTCCACTGCCTTGGGACAGAAGGAGGGAGCAAAGTGGGGAGCATGGTAATATTAACTCGAATATTAATACGCTGATGCTGATAATAATAATAATATCGATCTAACAGCGGCAATAATGAAATTCAGAGAGAGAAAAATGCAGGGAAAGGAGAAAACAAAAAAAAAAAAGGGTATATCTTAATCTAGATCCACCACGCCTTGACTTTCATAAGAGGACGTGCAAAGGAACGAGGGGACCCCAGCCTAGATTATTATAAGAAGATCGTCCTGAGGAATATCAGACGAGAACTGACAAAAAAGAAAAAAAGAAAAGAAAAGAAAGAAAGGCAGAGAAGAAGAAGAAGAAGAAGAAGAGACAAATGATATTGATTGAAAAGGAAGGCAAGATCACCTTTGCTTATTGCACATAACCCATTGTCCAGATCAACAGCGTCGTTGCTTTCTTCACTTCGATTCTAGCCCCGGTTTTAACTGTCTCTCTACTTCTGTTGATAGAGATAAATCGGTTCTGTCCATCTATACATCAGTTGCTTATACACAACACTCTGGGGATCTGATACATCCTTTGATTTCCTTCCTCTTCTCTCTCCCCTTTCCGGCTGTCAATATTGCATTGCTTCTTATATACTGCTCTGCAGCTATTTCGATCTCCTTACATTTTTTTCTTTTCTTTTTTTACGACCCAAACAGACCTAGCTCGGAATCCCCGGTGATTTTGGGCGGACAAAAGAGGTCGATTGGAGATTGAGAGGAGGACGCGGAGGAATTTCTACTGTAAGTTGGCCTTACATCTTCCATGGCTCTTTCTGGAGATAGTGGCGATGGACTTAGGTCCTGACATTCGCGATAGGCCTGGCTTCTCACCTTTCCTCTGCTCCATCAGCTGTGGGTCTTTGAGATTGGATCAAAAGCAAGCAAAGCAGTTTGAAGTACGACCATCCAGCTCGAGAAATAGTATACACAGACCCTACATCATCACTCGGGTTGCCATCAATAATGGAAACCGCAGAACCAGTGTCATATGAATTCCCAGGCCATCCCATTGGCGCCATCGCACCTCGTCGCATGATGAACTCTGGGGTTGGCCACAACTTCCCCTTCTACACCAATCCAACCACTTCCTTTCCACTGTCATTCCAGCAATCGTCCTCAGCTACCTATGGATTCGGCCATACGCTCAACAACCACCATCACCACCATCATCCTCCCAACAATCACCACCAGGGTTATCAGCACTTCTTCATAACCGGACATCAACACCAACTCAATTCACAACCAGTGCGCCTATCGTCGGAGCCACCACCCGCTCAGCTCATCCCCGACATCCGGCCTGCGAAGAACGCTTTCAACCGGGTGGCCAGAGACCCTTTGGTCAAGAATGATCCCGACCTGGCGTTGCAGAAAGCACGGTCACTCCAGTCGTCAGCCCAAAGCAGCGCCCCGCAAGGCAAAGACCCTTCTAGTCTCAACGAAGCCGAGTTCTCAACCGAGGTGGACAACCTCATGAAAGCAATCCAGGCCAAAGCAACCGATCCGCAACCGTCGACCGTACAGTCCCTCCCACCGCTACAACACTTGACTCACGGGGTCGCCAACACAATAGCCCAATCATATACTATCCCCCAGCCCCAAGTCCCGAATCCATGTACCGCCGTCATGTTCGAGGAGCCTGCGTCTCGATCCGGGAAGAAACGCAAATACACCTGCACCCTTCCGCACTGTGGGAAGAACTTTGCGCAGAAAACACACCTGGATATCCACATGAGGGCCCATACGGGGGATAAACCCTTCGTGAGTAGCCTGGTCAAGAAACGCCGCGCGAGTCATTGCTGACCCTTATGATGACAGATTTGCAACGAGCCGTCCTGTGGGCAGCGTTTCTCGCAGTTGGGGAATCTCAAGGTTAGTCCTGTTATTGCTGGAACTCAACAATCATATCGGGATGTTGTTGTCTAATGGGACCTTTACTCCAGACCCATCAGCGACGCCATACAGGAGAAAAGCCCTTCTCTTGTGATATCTGCCAGAAGAGATTCGCCCAGCGCGGCAACGTCCGTGCCCACAAGATCACCCACCAACACGCCAAGCCATTTACCTGCCTCTTGGACGAATGTGGGAAGCAATTTACCCAGCTTGGGAATCTGAAGGTGCGACGGGACCGCGCTGTATATTGTTGGAATCGGACCCCCAGCTAACTATATCATAGTCACACCAAAACAAATTTCACGCCACAACCCTACGAGACCTTACCCTCAAGTTCTCTCAGGTAACAGACGGGGACATGGTAACTCCACAGGACCGAAAGCTGTGGGAGTACTTTGCCACTCTATATAAAAACAGCAACAAAGGGATCAAAGGCCGCGGCAAAGACCGCCGGATCTCGCCGACTTCAAAGTCAGAATCGGGGTCAGGAAGCCGAAGACAATTTCAACATTTGGACAGGCTCGATGGAAAGGCACGACGTCCGAGTTACGAGGACTCCTCGGCCTGCACTGGGGTTTCAAGTAGTGACGAAGATGACATGGAGCCTTATTATTTGGAAAGGCAAGCTCATTGACGGCTTGCCTTACATACCCTTTGTTTTTTTTGCTTGTTGTATTTCTTTGTATGCTAATGTTACTACTACGATACCATATTCCTGGCTGGACTGTCTCCGCCAATTTGACTTGGGCAATTTCCGGCGTTCCTTCACTCTCCGCGCATCACTAGATGCTGATAAGCATGGCCGCTGTGTTGAAGAATTTTCATATAGAATACAGAATATGTTGGTGTATAGACATACAAAAAGTATAGTTCAGATATAAACATAGTTAAGGACCCTGAACCCCAACGGGTATCTGAGGTGAAGTAGCGTATTCGGCTAAACATCCCATGTCTCTTATATTGAAACACATGCTCCAAAAAGACCTCCATCCCTTAGACCTTCGAAACCAAAGGAGGTAAATGTATCCGCGTATTCTCATACACCAAGAAAGTGACCCAAGTACTCGGCAGCACTCTAAACAAATTCGGCCCTAAGCCTTTATAAAAGCCTGCAATACCCTCACGGGTCCAAATCTGCACAACGACATCGCGGATGCCGCGATACGCAAGATGAGCATCGTAGGTCTGCAGCCTCGAGCGCAGCACCTGATACGGGTACGTGACGCACCCGGCAAAGATCTTCGAGAAGCTCGAGATGAGGAAGAAGTCCAGGTTGCCGAGTTCGCGTCTCTGCGCCGGACCTGATTCTCCACCCGGAGACATCTGTGTCCGTCGGACTTTTAATCGCTCGTACACCATGAACTGAAGCGCCCCGTGGCTGACTCCGAACAGCGCTGGTAGGAGTCCGCGGTAGAATCCGGGGACGCCCTCCGATCGATAGATTTCCTTTGCGCCGTTCGTGAACGATGTATATGCTCCCGGGGCTCCGGCGCCGGTTGATAACATGCGCGTCTTGATGACCCAGATCGGGTTGGTGAGGACAGACGTTATGACTCCTAGCGGAGACAGAAGGAATTGTATCAGCGGAAAAGGCCATACAATGCTGTGGTGGCCACAAAACTTAGGTGGGGGGGGGAGTGTCTCTCATACCTGCGGCGCCCGACGCAAGAAAAAAGTCGGAAGCGGCCAGCTCCTGCTCGCGCGAGCTGCGGAGTTTCCGCATCCCGTCCTTGAGGTTGCCATAGAATAGGAAGTACAGCGCCCAGCTGCTGGAGTTGCCGATGATGTTTGGTGTTAGGCCTCGGTAGAACGGCGCAACGCCGCCTTCGTTTTGGAATATCCGGCGGATGACGCGGAACGACGCGCCTGGTTTGGGGGAGGATCGGTCGACTGTGCGGTGGACGGACGGGACGGATTAGCTTGCGTTATAGGAAAGGATAATAGCATCAGAGCAGCGACGTACCTTGGAGTCGGGTCTTGATCAAATCCAATGGATGCAGGCAGAGAGTAGAGACGATTCCGGCCGTGAATCCCGCTATGGTCTCCACCGAAGACGACGAGAGGCCATCCTGGCCAGTCATGAACCTTTCGCGGAGCGAATATTCTCTCACTCCGGTGATTGAAGGTTTTTGGGGGGTTGGGAATGCTGAACGTAGAAATATTGGCTTGGGGAGATAAGAAGTTTAAACTTTTAGTCTCCGGGGATTCGGAGCGGGCCCGATGATTCCGCCTGCTGGCGTGAACTACGTAGTAGAGTACAGATGCGTATTTCTATACTGCTACGCCAGATGATTCGTTCGGACTATTATAGAGAATAGAAGATAACAGAGTACACACATAATTCATATCTAGGAACTGAGGAAAGAGGAAAGTTGAGTAATCGAGCGGCCGTCGCCATATTCTTGTCCCGGTACGGCCTGTCTAACCGGGCTTTTCCCGGCTTTCCCAGGTGCGATGGTCGAATGCAATATGGACCAGACAAGGGTAGACTGTTTTCGACGGTCTAGAAATGGAGACTATTCCTCGACTCTGATATACAATAAGAGACAAATTCCTTGGTATAATTCCTTAAAAATACATAGATGTCAATGTGTCGAGACAATCGAGGCCAGCCCTCCTCATCTTCCGAATATACGTTCCAGCAACTCCTTGATGGAACAAATCTAAAATCAAAGACACCCAAGGCGTATCGTCACTTGAAAAGTCTGGATGTGATTGTGCAGGGGAGCATCGCGGGCGTTTCGGTTCTATCTAAGCAAGCGGGGAGAACAGCCTATGCCGGGGGAAAGGGTAGATTAGCGGGTGAAATCGAATCGGTCGTTGGAAGGGCAATAGTACTTGAAGAGAGACGGTCTCGGTTCGCTGTAGGTGTATCCTGTTTTCTTCATCAGTCGCCTGGTTTCGGATTGATGGGGGATGGGCGATATGTACCGAGATAGATGATCAAAGGCAGATAGCCACTGTGGAAACAGCGCATCAGTATTTCCCATTCTCCAAAATTATAATGGAAGTAGGCCTGTATCTTACTAGTGGATGGCGACTCTGGAGACATCAATGACCTTGGAGATGCGCTCCTGATGAGAAACAGTCATTAGCAAATGCCTCGGACAGCCCTTGCCACAAAAGGTTGGGGTCTCATCGAACCTTGGTTTCCTCGGAAAACTGGGCCATATCGACGATATGATGTGTTCAGGTGGTATTGTCAAGGTGGACGGTGGAAGTTGACGGTTTGTCGGACGAAGGGTGGAGTATGACAGACGGTGTTGGTTGAAGCTCAAACAAACTTTTTCCAGGGTGGAAGGACTAAAGCTCCGCCGATGACCTGTGGTACCGGAGCTTTCTCAACTTGAGTTGATCGGCCTCCACACCACCACAGTCACCATTGCTTTCCAGTCCAGTGAAGATCGAAGAAAGAACAAGGAAATAATTATAAGGAATCCTATTACTGCAAATATTTCTCGGCCTCTATTCCCCCTTAATCCCTCTCAGCTTCTCGCGTTTCCATTTTTCGCCGCTCAGGTCAACCTTCGCATTTATCAGCGCCATGTCGGGCGCAAGACATTGGTATGCGGTCCTCCCTCCCCCCTAGCGGCGCATCTCTAATTGAAGGCTCATATAGGGAACAAGATAAGGAGGCGACTGTCTACATCGGAAATTTGGACGAGCGGGTCACAGATAGTTTGGTATGGGAGTTGATGTTGCAGGCTGGGCGCATCGTTAACGTTCACCTGCCGAAAGATCGAGTCACTCAATCTCACCAAGGCTACGGATTTGTTGAGTTCATCAGCGAGGAAGATGCAGAATACGCGTCGCGGATAATGAACGGCATCCGTCTCTACGGAAAGCCCATACGTGTGAACAAGGCCTCCGCCGATAAACAGAAGTCGGTGGAAATTGGCGCAGAGCTCTTTGTTGGCAATTTGGATCCTATGGTAATGGAGCAGGTGCTCTACGATACGTTCAGTCGGTTCGGGAACTTGATCAATATCCCAAAGGCAAGTGCTCTCGGGTTTGCTCGCGTGCCCATGGTTTATTAACACGTTATAGATTGCGCGAGACGAGAACAACTTATCGAAGGGCTACGGATTCGTATCGTTCGCCGATTTCGAGTCATCCGATGCTGCTATCGCTAATATGAACGGTCAATACTTGATGAACAAACAGGTTTCCGTTCAATACGCGTATAAGAAGGATGGAAAGGGTGAACGACACGGAGACCAAGCAGAGCGAATGCTGGCCGCTCAGGCTCGCAAACACAACGTCCGACCACCAGCCCAACCACTACCACCTCAATTCACCGGAGCAGGGCCGGCGGTTATGCCGGCTGGGATGGCAAATGGCGGAAGCCCTCGGCCCATGAATTCTGCACCAGCAGACATGGGCATGGGAAGAGTTGTTGTGCCTCCGAACAGTGGCATCCCGGCACCTTCTCCTCACCAGAATAGACCTCCTGTCCTTGCAAATCCGCTGGCGAATCCGCTGGCAAATCCGCCTCCGGGCTTACCGGCACGGCCGCCACCCTCGCAGGCTGGATACGGAGGTCCACCACCGTTTGTTCCGCAAGGGTTCAACAACGCCGGTCAACAATCACCATTTCCTCCGCAGGGCGCGCCGCCGCCTTCGGGATTCGCTCCTCCTGGCTTTGGCCCTCCGGCAGGTACACCAACTCCCGGGGCCCCGTTACCACCAGGATTTCAGCAACACGGTTACGGTCGTGGTCGGTGAGAGTACGTCTCATGTGAGATACGACTAGTCTAGGGTCGTGGGTGGGGGAGAATTTGGAATATAGGGTGGTGATGTTAGATTAAGGGCCTACCCACTCATTAGAAGCGGAATGGCCGCTTGCATTTTATGAGAACACGAAGTTTTTCTAACACTTTGCAATCCATAATAATCGCTAGCGGAACTTGGCTATATCACTAGAGCAACTCAATCCGTCTTCAATTGTCTCGCATCCTCTATATCATGTCTGCCTTTGTGCTTTTACTCTTCTTTCGGCGTTTCTTCTAAAAGAAGCCTATTGCTGGTTCTATATTCTTTTGTCCGAGCATGTAAAACATTGAGAACATTAACTTCATTGAGTACGCATTGCTATATAATAGGAAAGAGCCAAGGAGGGAGCGTAAACGGGTTAGTGGCAAATGAGATGTAGCGCCCCCAAATAGGGCACAGACCAGACAGTTGGAAAGATAGTTTCGCGACGATAGATAGGAAGTCGAGAGAATGTAAGAAATATTAAGGAAGTGGCAGAGTGGTACACCCATGTGTGAGGCACGCAACGCAGCCAAAGACGTAGAGTAAACGAGTGTCGGGGCATGAATAATCACGAGAAAGAAACAAATCTGGGGTCCTTGGGTCGGCCATCCGGCCCAATATTATGTTTCGAGAAGGTCCGTTCCGTATAGATGCGACGTGCTTCGTCAAAGTTGACTTTCCGTCGTTTCATGATCTTCCGGACTTCCCGTTTGGCCCGGGCATCTAATCCTGCTCTACTGTCGCCGTCCACAACGTTCCCGGACAGATCAAAGTGCGAGGAGGTCAGTCCGGCTTCGATATCCCCAGCGAAGCTCGAGGGAAGGCGATCGTATATGTAATCCGGCACAGTGATCAGTGGTAACCATCGGGAACGAGTGAGATAGAGAGCTGTTGCCTAGTCAGGATAGTTCCTGCGCTGCAAGACTTGATATCGGTTCAACGTACCAGTGCCACAGATCACGACTGTTAGCAGCAGAGAATAGAAGAGATAGTATTCCATCTCTACTGGCCAGGGTACCTGGGTGCTGTCTGTAATAAGAGGGTGGACAATCTAGGTGGCTGAAAGCGGGCCCAGGATCAAATCTTATCTGCTGAGATATTTAGACCGATGTGAAAATAATAAGCCAGCGTGCCAGTCAGGCAAGGTTCTGTCACATCATGGACCTTGAATCATACAAGGCATGGAAGCAGTGTCGCTGTTGGAGTGGAGGATATGCGAAGTAATGGAGGCAGCAGCCGCAAATCGTTCCTATTCCGTACCTGCTGGCACTATCATGATATCAGTGACTGCAAAGAGAAGGCGGTGAACGGCGTAGGTAATCTACGTTTCTTGCCTGAAAAGTATGGCAGAAATAGCAGACTATTCCCTATTCGGCTCGTTTAGCGAGGCCCGCCGGCCGCTGTGGCTGGCCATTCTTGGCTGGCACACACAAGTCGCCGACTTGGGTATGCTTCATCGCGACTGACTTGGAACCATCCATCAATTTGAGTGAGGAGACAGTTGAACCTTCATAATGGCCACCACCAACATCTCTAGCGACCTCGTCTGGCAAATCTCCCGTAAGTTGAATATACCGAGCTCCATGCACACTTTCGCGCGAAATCGCTTTTAAGACGGCGCATTTATCTCTTTTTTTTTTTTTTTTTCGACACTTTAAAAAAAGAGGAAAGAAAAAAAAGATTGAAAGGAAGGGAGAAAGAAACTATCAACCGAAGACAATCCCTCAATTCCTGCAAAAAAAACAAAAAAAGAACTACATATCTCTTATCAGATTTGCATTTTCTTGCTGAATTCTCAAACTTCGATGTGTGGCTAATCTATATCGAATTTCTTCACAGGCAACCAGAATGCTTTTCTGGCCAAGCGCAACACCGGCGGTGGCTCTCAGTTCTCCCGTGATCCCCTGAACCTGCAGAACAAGCACTCTTTCAAGGTATAATGGTTGAAGATTCTCGTCATGAATGATAGTCGCTAATACTCGTTTCTTTCTTCAGTATGCTGGTTATGCCAACAACAAGGTACATATGATCATGAACGGCGTCGCATCTCAGCTTGAACAGTGATATTAACTCCCGATATTAGGCCATTGGTGTGCAGCCGACTGAGAACGGCGGCGTTGCCGTGATCACCAAGAAGCCCAGCAGCTCCCAGCAGCCCGCTAAGAACCTGGTCACCGTTAACTACGGCCCCAACACCTCCGCCCGCAAGTAAGCAGAACCGACCCTTGTCCACGGTGTATACCAGCTCTGCTTGTGATCATCACTTTTTTTTGTGAGGTGCCATGTATCTAACGCGGTTTCTTTGGATAGGATCTACAAGGGTGTCGCCAGCAAGACCGCTCAGAACGGCTACCGCGCTGATATCCGCGAAGACGCCGTTGCCCGCGTCAGCGCCATCCGTCGTTCCCAGAAGGCCAAGAAGGAGGCCGCTGCCAAGAAGCCCCGCGGCGCTCAGGCCCGGAAGGCCGCCCTGGAGAAGTCGGAGTAAAGGGTAGTTCTTCGCGAAACTTTGTTGCAACCACAAAATGTCGATTTATGATGACTCCATGGCAATCCAGGGCATAGACAGCATGTCCATGTAATTTAGCGGGTGATGCCATGGAGGCAGTCCATCCAAAAACAATTCGGGATGGGGAAATGACAACGAAGACGACAAGAAGCATGACCTATGTGAAAATGGGGAAATAATAAAAAGAACCATGATCCACCGCTATATGCTTTTTTTTTCGTATTTATTCTCGTTGTAGATGATGTAATTGAGCGCTACCCTTTTGAGTAGTCCATTCGCTGGGTAGGCTTACTCACACCACCTAGGTAATTACTACCTGTTATATGATCTCGATTGGATTCAAGCCAGACGGCACATGTCTCGGGTTTGGAGGATATTTAACCACTATTTGTCGGGCCGAAGCAAGACTAGCATAATGGAGAACCATTAGTCGCGACCTTATCCGTTGTTTTGTCGTAAAGAGAAATCTGGCACCCGCCTTTTTCCGAACTCACCCATGATCAATGGATCAATTCGGGTATGCCTTGGCGGAACCCAGGAGAGATTTCCAGGCACTGGCGAAAACTGCCGGGGTCCAGGGAGTGACCAATGGACCAGTCCTGAACTAGAAGAGGGAATGAGCCCCGGCACTGACGTTGGTCTGGGACGGGCAGCCGGCAAAGTAAAGATTGAAGCCGATACGTTACTGTCCCTCGCACAATTTATCCGTCTAGACACGTTAGATGGTTTCTATTTCGGTTATAATAATGAGGGGAGAGTGTAAGCAAACAGTGAGAGATTTATCCAGCCACCGCCTGTTGATTTCAATGGGTTGGAAAGAAACATGTATGGGTTCTACGGATGATGTATTGGATAGAACGGCCTGCACTAGTGGAGCTTGCCTGACAACCCCACATGTGATTAAATCCCCCTCCTCCCCTCTTCCGAGGGGTATATATATACGTTCTCTATATCCCTCTTTCTATCACTCTTACCATCACAAACCAAAAGCCACCTCTCTGATTTCTCCTGCAAGGTAAGTCCACAGATTATACGAATGCGTCACCTCGGTGACAACTCTAGCCGGTCATGGATGTCTTGAGACATCCAACCCCGCCAGACTTCCCCTCTCTTACCTTGTTCTCTCCCCCTCCTGTTCCCATCGATTCTACCTATCTATCTATTCTGCTCCTTTCTATGGGTTTGGCTTCATACATCTATTGTCATTGTCTTGTTAACTAACAGACCGGCCACAACTACAGACAAGGGAATCTTTACGCCAAAATAAATAAATTAAGAACAAATCACATCCAACAAATCATCCATCATGGTTAAAGCTGGTGAGAATTCCCGCCTCGCAATCATTATAATCAAGAAGGATTAATTTGCTGATCCAAACTAAATAGCTGTTCTCGGAGCCTCGGGTGGCATTGGCCAGGTTTGCATACCCCAACTTGCTTCATTGGCACTTGACTAATTGCTGATGCTTGATCGTTTATTTTATAGCCCTTGTCTCTTCTGCTGAAGACCTGCCCTCTGATCGATGAGCTTGCCCTCTACGATGTCGTCAACACCCCTGGTGTTGCCGCTGACCTTTCCCACATCTCCTCCGTCGCTGTATGTGCCAATGCACCACCACTCTCCGGATCACCCCTCCGGCCCGTCAGGCATCAACCTGGACCGTTGACCTTTTAACATTTTTCTCGCAGAAAATCTCCGGATTCCTGCCCAAGGATGATGGCCTCAAGAACGCCCTGACCGGCACTGACATTGTTGTGATTCCCGCTGGCATTCCCCGTCAGTAGTCCACGCTTTCCCCGCACTTCTCTCAAATCAGTCTAACGGATGACTCGAACTGTAGGCAAGCCCGGCATGACCCGTGATGATCTTTTCAAGGTCAACGCCAGCATTGTGCGCGACCTGACCAAGGGCATCGCCGAATTCTGCCCCAACGCCTTCGTTTGTATCATCTCCAACCCCGTCAACTCCACCGTCCCCATTGCCGCCGAGGTTCTCAAGGCCGCCGGCGTCTTCAACCCCCAGCGCCTCTTTGGCGTCACGACGCTCGACGTCGTTCGTGCGGAGACCTTCACCCAGGAATACTCGGGCGCGAAGGACCCCTCCACCGTCCAGATCCCCGTGGTTGGCGGTCACTCCGGCGAGACTATCGTTCCCCTGTTCAGCAAGACTTCCCCGAGCTTCCAGATCCCCGAGGATAAGTACGAGGCTTTGATCAAGCGTGAGTGGCTACGATCACAAATCAACCCCTGCCATGTTGAGCCCCTCCTAACAGCATCACAATAGGTGTCCAATTCGGTGGTGATGAGGTCGTTCAGGCCAAGGATGGTGCTGGCTCCGCCACCTTGTCGATGGCTTTCGCTGGCTTCAGGTTTGGATCCCTGTGTTCAATTGCAGCGGCTGTTGCTAATCTACTGCAGATTCGCCCAGAGCGTTATCAAGGCCGCCAAGGGCCAGTCCGGAGTTGTCGAACCGACCTTCGTTTACTTGCCTGGTGTTCCTGGCGGTGACGCCATTGCCAAGGCCGTTGGCGTTGAATTCTTCTCTACTCAAGTGCAGCTCGGAGTATGTTCCACGCCCCTTTGTCTCTATCTTTCTGTTGTTTGGTTTCGTCTCCGATAAGAATTATCTAACTCTCGATACAGCCCAACGGTGCCGAGAAGGCCATCAACATCCTTGAAGGTGTAACCGAGAAGGAGACCCAGCTGCTGAAGGCCTGCACGGACGGCCTGAAGGGCAATATTGCGAAAGGCGTCGAATTCGTCAACAGCCCCCCGCCAAAGTAAATACACCCACCCCCCCCAGCACATCTGCACACATGATCCCCTACTGCCGGCCGGTCGCTTGATATCGCACCTTTGGTGTCTTCGACGGAACATACTTCTGTGGCTCCATCGACTCGCAGATCTCCGATATGGAAAGAGCCCTACTAATCATTATCATCCCGAAAGATAGGCTTTGAAAGAATGAAACGAATTGCTGGAGCACCGTGATGAACAATTCCGGGTGTGCAAAAAGCAGGGATGTAGACACATACTGAAATGAAATTACTATTTATTATTCTCTTCCACCATAATCCGGCCCTGTGGTGCCTTCCCACAAGGAAAATGGATTTGGAACCAGCCGTAGATCTCATTATTGTAGCTGACGCCAGAACAGGACCAGACGCAGCCGTGACTGCCTCAATCGCTGCTGATGATCTCTTGATCCTACGATTTCGACTGCACCGTCTTGATCTGGAATGTTGCTCCGGGGAGCTCGGTTGTCTCTGCTTGAACGGTTGTATTGATACCCAGATTGGAAAGCGCTCCACGTATAATGCCACACGGAAACCAGAGGTACTGGACTCTATTAGACGGCGTCCTTCTAATTGGTTTTGAGGGGTTGGGGAATTGCAAGGGGATTTGTGCCTACCGCTTGAGCCACTGTTACAGCGTCACCCCTGACAGACATACTCATGCGCGCGAATGGTCGAAAGGAACTATCGGTCAACACATAGACACCCTGTATTTCAAATTAACTCCGTCCTTTCAACCTGAAGAAGATGGCTTGGGCGGTCGAGTCTTACCCGATGGTTAGTTTTAAGATTATCGATCTGCTTCCTGAACAGTATAGACCACAAGTCCTTGCACAGAAATTTGATTACATCCAGGTTATCGCTAAATCGGGGACGGTCGCGCGCGAACCTGCACAAAACCAGAACCATTGACACACATTAGCATAGACTCCCAATCCAACAACGGTCACCCCCCCTTTTGTGGAAGACGGCGCACTGTTCCAACCAAACAAACAACCTGACACGTACCGTTCTACAAGACCCTGTCCCACCCGATAACCCAGCGACTCAAGGCGAAAGAAGGTAGTCTCTCTCACTTCCTCGTCTTCCAGTATTCTATCATTGTCTGAGAGTTCTTGCGCGAGCCGCTCGGCCATGGGGACCAGTTCTATGAGGAGAAAATCGAGACATGATGTGCTGACGAGGCGCGCGTGGGGATCCGAGGAGATATTCAGGGATGAACTGGTCGTCTCGAAAGACATGTTGGTCTTTTATATATCGGTTAACCGAGGTCTAAGGGAATAGAAAAAGCGATTTCCTGAGGCGATCGGGTGCGGGTGAGGGGGGTTGCGAGAGATTACACCGGTTGTACTGTAGCTGGCAGTTGAGAGCGTTGTTCGTTTGAGTCGCTAGATCGGCGTTCCCGATGATATCCACCGGCTGATAACGATAAGCCGGTACAAAAATCAGTACAACGATCAGGGCCATCACCCTACATTACTGGTAAAACTATAGATCAGGCTAAAATTTACTAGAGAACCGACTTCAGGGCCTTCGCTTTTTTTATTCAATATGTGTTAGGAAAAGAGATCTTGGATGTTAATATAAAAACCAGTAATACTGGTCAATACGGACGGACCCTGTCGTCGAAAGATGCTATAATGTGTATGTATACTCTACATGATTCTAAATAGATCTCAACAAAATCATTCATAGCTGCCGACGTTCTATTATTCAACCATTTATCTTCAAAAGCTCCATGCAACTGCCAAACTCCAAGATCCGCAAGCACCATGACGCCTTGAAAGACTACCCAAACCACACAGGGACCAGAAGAAAATAGATCACGCGTCATAACCACCTGTCTGGGCCGGGGATTCTGAACTGGTCTGGCTTGCAAATGCCAAAGTTGCTCCGTTTGAAAAACCAGTACTATGTAGATTCCGGGTCTCCTGTCCAGGTAAAAATCGATCGAAGGTATTCAAGGCCGGTCGTTTTGCCGGTCTTACAGGAGAACCATCATCTTCATCATCACTTGCAGTAAGGTCGATTACTTGAGCCACGCTACGCTTATTGGTAGATTGGTGAGCAGCAGACGCTGTTGATGGTTCTCGTGATTGAGTAGGAGTGCAAAGCAAAGAATAGCTTTGCGCGGAAGTTGCTTCTTGCTTTATAGGAGTGACCCCGGGCTCTCTGACCTCTATTAGCTCGTCTTCATCTGACGCTGGGTTAAAGCCATCAGCACCCGTTGCATCGTCGCCTTTTGGAGCTGACCATCTGCCATCAGGTTCTATGACTACCTGTTCGACATCTGATGTTGTTGAGTGAAGTATATCATCGACATACCTACGTCGTTAGAGAAGAATATCATAGACGTGGAGATGTCGGGCTTACTGGTCAACATGCAGTGATTCGAAGCTAGTTGCTTTGGAGCAAATAGGGCATGACCAAGTTGGCGCTTGCTCCTGCAATTGCAAGAAAGACGATGCATCAAAACAGCGGTTATGGGTACAGATGAGCGAGCGGCAGGGAACTTGGATTCGAAGCGTGGACAGAGGGCATTTCAACGACATCACGCTCGAGGTAGCAACAATGTCCGAATCGTCCGCCCTGCTTCTCACTGATGATTGTTAGAAAAATTCTCTTAGTGGGTAAGTATACGCACTTTCCCGTATAACCTGTTCTTTGGATATTGTTTTCCTCATTTTCAGCTCGGCTACGAGAGTCTCAACTGGGTGTCGCTGGACGAGATTGGCAAGAACATAGAACCTCTGCGCATGTTAGTCAAAAGACAAACAACAAAATTCAAGCCAAACCAGTAAAACTGGAGATGAGAGACCTATCTATATGCATTTATTGGTTTGTACTGACCTTTTGGGTGAGGGCATACGTCATGACGATATGGTTTGGATATCCTGGTCTTTTGCGGATATAGTTTGTTACGTCGGCAGGTCTAGTTGTCCCAGGTTTGTTTTTGAGGCCTCTCAGATTGGCCTTGACTTCGTCAAGGTTTGCCTTCAGCTCAACTTGGTGCGGAAAAGCAATATCCGACTTCGTATATTGGGTAAGGCCAGAATCTGCAGCGCAATAAACCATAACCCGAATGTTCGGGTCTGCTTGCATCCTAGATGCTACACTGGGGTTCAGAACAACTCGAAGCTCCACACTGTCTCTTGTTTGTTCTCGGGCTTTGTGGTATCAGAATCATGAAACGTCTAAGGTTCGATTTGCCATTTGAAAACACACCTCTGCATTCAACTGCCGGGGTAATTTGCTCAATTATGGTATAGAAGGGACTATCCTTGAAATTGAAACGTCCTTCCAAAAAATCAGCACTCACTTGTAAAGCAGGTGAACTCTTGGTCCACATACCGGACCCTACCCCATGCGGGGACATTGAAATCCCTAATGGAGAAGGTCTTTGCTGCACAGGCGTGGATTGGCTGAGTGAGGATGTTCGGTGTTGTTCTCCAGACAAAACCTGCGAGTGTGATGGGGACGGCATTGACCGATTTGCTGTGGCATAGATAAATTTCCTCAGGCTGTCATAACGCTCGAATTGTCCTGCTTGGCTGAGCCGCTCCAAAACTAATGGTTCGCAAACAAGTCAGCAGTCTACCCTGGGGAAAGCTCCGGTCGAAACCATAACGGTCGGGGGAAGAAGTTGCAGGATACAGAGAGTATCGTTGAAAGGGAAATGGGGAGAGATAACGGCAAAGAGAGGAAGTAGAGGTATAACAGACAATCAATGATCCTGAGTTGCAGTGAAGCCTTCACCCCGGAGACAGCGAGCCCCTCCCTCCTGAGGATATCTTTCAGCTGCACATTTGTGAGCGTCTTGACCAAAGCTACTACGCTTTGGAGCTCCTGAGACTGGGTGACGGATGTCATGTTTCAAGGACGTATGCCACCAGTTGCTGGTCGACCGCGGTCCAGGGAAATTTCAAGAGATGTAGGACAAAGCAGATGCGATATGTTTGGCAACAAGTTTGTTGAAATACATTTCAACCCACTTCTGAATTCAAATGTTAAAGCACATGAGAAGAATGAAAATAGCACAACATCAGTGCATTAAGTTTAGATCCAAAAGTATCACTAAAGAAACTTGGAAAAGAGAAGATAGACATGTAATCAAATACTATCGGGGAAGTTTGCGGAGCGGAGTACCAGGGACTGTTGATGACATAAGAAGGCTGCCCTGCTAACTTGATCAGTAGGTAGTGTTATCGGGCAGTGGCTCAACTTTTGAAACTTTTATTCTTTCCAACTCGGACCAAGCGAACCAAAACCAAAAATTCATACCATCTTGTTTTTGATAAATTCTTTTCTCATTCATTTCTCTGGATACTGATCTTCTATCTTTCGATTCTTCCATTTTCCCCTAACCGTCGCGCAATAGAATAATGGCGAAAAGTGTTCGAGCCAGTGTATCCAAACGCAACAAGGCAAAGCTCCGAGCCACAGTTTTCGGGCCTGTTGTTGATGCACGAACTGAAAGATTGTCGGCCAAATTGCAGGAGCTTGCCTCTCAGCCAAAGACAAATGAACATGAGAAATCCGACGTGGGATCAGGTACTGCAGAGATAGGTATGTCTCTTATCTTTATGTCTTTCCTATGATTTTTTGGGGGGGGGGTTATACAAAGGCTTACATTGATTGCAGATGAACAAAGCGGTGCTTCGGGACTATCAGAATACAATGAAGGTCAGTGCCCTAGTTTATCACTGGAGGCTTCTTCCACATACTGACTGTTTTAAGACATGGATCTTGATAAAGCGTCTGAAAAGAAAACATCGTCACAGAAATCCGGACGTATCCACAAACGCCACAGCAACAGGAAAAACCGTTCATCTATAACTTTTACCCCACGCTTTCAAAAGTCACGAAAAGTTTCGAAGAGAAAGTGAGAATTTTTTGAGATAATCGACGTTTGTGTATATCATTGATAATTGGATCTCGTCCCAAACCTTCCAACGACATTAAATGTTTGCTTAGAATTTGACTTGACTTCTAACATCATTCCACTTCATAATACCTGATTGTCATATGGGTTTTCACCAGACTTTGATATGTCAGTCTTTATGTCAAGCATCAAACTATCTCAAGATGGCCATATATTCTCTGCATGGGCTTCCTAAATACTTTTTCCTTTTTCACCTTGGGATACATGTATATGCACTCGTATGACAATTACTATAGTAGAGTTGGAGCAGGAAGCTTTCAATAATACTGTTATCTCCCTTCTGGTGAAATCAATGATAAAATGCATTCAATCAAACTACGAAATAAAGGACGGGTATGATTTGATCACTGTAGATGTTTGTGGTTTGAATGATAACTAAATTATCTATCAGGTAATCTTATCGTGATAACAGCCTAGGAAGGGCAGGCGGTGTCTTAACAACAACAATTATACTGCCCGCATTACTCAAAAAGCCCCCTGTCAGCCATGTTAACAACTTGCAACTTATTATGTTTACTGGGGACAAAGAGAGAAAAGAATTACAATACTGACATGGTTGCGAAATCTCGAAATCTTGATCAATGGACATATTGCAGCAGTCATAACTCTGAACTTTTACCAACACAATGCATTTGAACCCTGGAAGTTGGGCGATACTAATCGCTAATATACTCATTCCGATTGCCATTCTTTGTTTCTCATCTGGATTTTTCCCCTATAAGCCTTTACTTCCTGGGTTTGCAATATTTGAAACAGATGATGAGGAGGTCCGGCCGCCGGTGATATTTGATAAAGTCATTTTCATGGTGGTCGATGCATTGAGGAGGTATGATAATGTTACAGATTGGCATCTTATTCTCCTAGTTGACTCTAGATATCAGTGACTTTGTGTACTCCAGTAACTCTGGTTTCCTCTTTACCCAAAGGTTCGTTTGGATAATTTGAGCGTATGCTATCATAGAGTTGATCTGATGTAATTTCATAGCCTCATCCGGCATGGCAATGCTCTACCATTCACGGCATATGCAAGCTCACCAACAGTGACAATGCCCCGACTCAAAGCTATGACAACAGGATCTGTTCCGTCTTTCTTGGACGTGATTCTGAATATTGCGGAATCTGACACTTCGTCGACACTTGCCCATCAAGATACATGGCTGGCGCAATTGAAAAGGCGAGGTGATCGCCTCGTCATGTATGGAGACGACACCTGGCTCAAGCTGTTCCCAGGAATGTTTGATAGGGCCGACGGGACTTCGAGCTTCTTCGTGTCGGTCAGTCGGCTTTTAGGCACCACTTCCTTTCCGAGGGCTGATTTATAATGTACAGGATTTTACCGAAGTAGACAACAATGTTACGCGCCATATAGGCGACGAGCTGCTTCAGGACGACTGGTCAGCATTTATTATTCATTATCTAGGCCTGGATCACATTGGGCACAAATCAGGTCCTCAAAGGTATCCAAGTACACCCGTTAGTTAAGAAAATCGCTAACATGTATGCAGCCCTTACATGATACCGAAACAGCATGAAATGGATTCAGTTGTATCTCAGGTATATCTAGCTCTGGAGGAGGAGAAACACCTTGAATCAACGCTTTTTGTTCTATGCGGCGATCATGGTATGAATGACGCCGGTAATCACGGTGGCTCTTCCGTAGGTGAAACGTCACCGGCCTTGCTTTTCATATCACCCAAATTTCGATCGAAGGGCGCGCATGGCCAAAGCCCAATAGAGCCTATACATGATCTACAATATTATCAGACCGTCGACCAGCCAGACCTTACGCCGACTCTTGCAAGTCTTCTTGGCTTGCCAATTCCTTTAAACAGCCTGGGTGTCGTCATTCCGGAGCTACTTATGATGTGGGATCACGGTAAGATGCTATTCCCATATACATAAGCTATGTGTTACCACTAATCTCTTCTTTCACTCATCAGGTCATGAAAGAACCAAGATTTTGTTAGACAATGCCAGACAGCTGCTCAGAACTGTTAGGGGGTCATTTCCACGTTATGAGTTCAACCCCGATAAAGTGACAGCCGATTGCGATAGTGGCCATGCAGATGGGATTGAAGCTGTTCAGTGTGCATGGTTCCGTGTCCATGACTTGCTACACAAATCTGATGGCTCGCACAACAATGACATACACCTCGACCTCGAATCTACTCTCCTCAGCTTTTTGAGACTTGCCCAAGAATTGATGAGCAGTGCTGCTAGTGACTATGACGTGAAATATCTCTACTTAGGTATCGGCATCACTAGCCTGGCTGTTTGTCTATCTGTACCGGCGATGCATTGTCTACTCTCAACATCCAAGCCGTCCATAATGTTCTTAGTCATGAGCGTTTCAAGCTATAACGCTCTGATGTTCGCGAGCAGTTATGTTGAGGAAGAACAACAGTTCTGGTACTGGTTATTAACGGGCTGGATGTGTTACTTACACATCAAGTCACTCAATCACCAACACACTAATCTCTTTAGGAAAACAGGAACACATTGGTCAGTTTCCTCGGTGCTCGCTAGGCTAGGTTTGGCAGGTTTGGCAGCGTCCCATCGTTTAGTGAGACGCTGGAATCAAACCGGTCAAAAATTTGCTGCAGAGCCAGATATCTCACGAGACTTTTTACGGTCCCATCAGGACATCCTATGGTTCCTGATCATCCTAGCGTACGCAGTCACGGGCAAACGCCTTACTTCTAGCCTCCCTAAGAACGTGCTATGGTGCGTTGTTGGCCCGTCTATCACATTAGCAGCTTTTCTGTACAAAGTTGTGTTTGTGGGATCAGAGTCCCCGGAGCTCCTCACCGACTCGATTTTGGAGCCTTTTGCGGCATATATCGGAGGAATCCCGCTCATTCCACATGCAAGGTTTGTTCTTTGTGGATTATTCCTGCTTATGTTGTACTCGATTTGTACTATGGTGGTACCTCGAACATTCCACCGACAAAATAGTGGTAAGCACAGAAGCCATAGATATGATAGCACAAGTCAGTCACTAATTAAAACTAGCAACGCCGACCAGAGTTCTCCATGAGTCCCTCACTCTTTTCTTGATGACACAGTCAAAGGCAACCAATATCCCGATCTTTCTGCTTCTCGGATTGCAGGCGAATATCCTCTGCTCGATAAACCTCACTGCAACTGAGCTCACCATTACATCCCTGATAATGCAACACGTTACTTTTTTTGCATTTGGGGGTTCTAATTCAATTTCATCGGTTGACTTATCCAACGCATATAATGGTGTTGGCAGTTACAATGTCATACTCGTTGGTATCCTGATGTTCATAGGCAATTGGGCCGGCCCAATTTGGTGGGTTTCAGCCAGCCGACTCCTTCGAGGTTCTCACAATTCGCAGCAGTGGGACAAGAGCGCGCATATCACGGTTTTGACATTTTATGCTACCACAACCTTGGTGTCTGTCATGGTTTCTTGTACAGTATTAAGAGCGCATCTTTTCATTTGGACGGTCTTCTCACCGAAGTACCTTTACACCATGGTTTGGATCCTCATCAACTACTTCGGTGTGAACATATTGGGAAACGCCGAATTGCCGGTCCTCAAGTCTTCATGAAAAAGCCGGGAAGGGGTGTTCATTTTATGCACAAATACTCTTGCCCCACTGCCAAATATGGCTGTCTGCCTTGTATCTATATAGAACAACTCGTGGATTCTGCTATTCAACTAATGCCAGCGAAAAGCTCGTCTATGGCATCCTTTTTGGTTTTTTTTATTTTTTTCGGTTTTTTCACATCTGTAGAACCAGGACGCTTCTTCCTCTCTAGATCACTGTTTTTGCGTACTCCTAAGGCCGTTGGATGGGCGGTAGGGGTCTCAGTGTCGACCGCCGCACCTGAATGGTCTTGGGTCCGAGAGAGGACCTCCCCTATATCCTCTTTTGGAGTATAACTTCGATCTGGAATGGCTGGAACCCGTGACTTTTGTGGTGGACAACCCAATTTTTTATCAATCGCCATTGCTTTTGTAAGGCGAGCCAAGGTTGCTATTAAAACGATACCAAGCGTCGAAAACTGCCCATCTGCAACAACTGTAGAGAACGCACTGGGAGATGGTCAGTGTCTAGACGGAGAACAAAAAAATAAACGGAATTTCTCTAGCTTCCAGGACCTACCAATAACACTTGGGTATGACACTCGTGGCCAAATGTTTGGCATGCTTGTCAACAATGGACTTGCTTCTGCTGGGTGCTAGTTCGCATTCTAAACTTTTTAAGAGATTCATAGTGGCTCGTTTCAGCAAAGAAAGCCATTTCCACCATTTTGTCTTCCCGTGCTGGTTCTTATTCCGGTGGAAAACCAGGTGGAGCACTGAGTACACTGCAGTTACCTTTTCCTTGTCCATTCCATAGCAAGGAAATAAAAGAGCACAAAATATCAAATTTTCAGACCTCGGCGTTGTCAGCGCGATACTCTTGTTCTGCGTAAAATTGCTCGGGGGAGAAAAAAAAGATGAAATAGGGACAAAATCTAGAACAGTGGATAAGATCCGAAAGTCAAGCTTCCAGTTAGCTTTTACTATCGCAAGAACCACTTGGATGGAGGCACTTACTTGACCGACAGGACCCCCAACGTTACCGTTATCGGAGTATCGAAGAACAAGGGCAGCTTACTAATAAGTTGAATAGCAACCAACTACGGAGTAGGCTAGAGAGCGAACCAGAAAGTTAAGTCACAGATATCAGAAAAGAAGATAACTATTGGTATATGTAATCTTAATACTCCGTAACTATCATAGACGAGGTCGCACTATCCTTGATGCGTCAGGTTGTTTTGCCTGGCACTTGGGTATACCTAGACATCTGGCGTACGGATCTCCACTTCCCGGATTCCCGGTTGGTATTCCGTAGCGGGATATCTTATTGATAGCGAGTCCTGCATCCGAGTCACTACGGTATGTACTCTACTAATCTCCTAGGAACAAGTTGTATTTTCATCTCACACAATCAATTATACTGTCGCTCAGTCAGAATGAGCTGGGCTAGATACCAAGTGATCCTTTGGGCCCAATTTCTTCCAATGCACAAGCAGGCTCACTTCTGCAAGTCTGTTGTAATATAGGAGGGTAGACATTGGGCGCTTGTATTCGAGTAGAATATCAGTCTTGTCACTTGTCAAACTCAAGTGCTCACCAAAAAAAGCTAATAGTCGAAAGATCTGGGAGCTACCACAAACCAAGCTGAGCATGGTTTGTACTATCATGGAATATCCATAGTTTTCGCCTGTCTTGATTTATTACAGCCTATGTGTTGTTTGGCTCAAAGCCTGTATCAACGGACACGACATATTGTAATTATTTCCACAAATTACTTCCCAGACAAGAGGGAGAAAGTGGTAGCTGAAGTCTCACAGAGAAGGGCATCCAACCTGTGATAAACCCAACATCAAGACTCATACCGAAGTATCTCATCAATGCCATCCAGCGCACGAAATCGACTTCCTTCAATGGATCAAAAATACATGTTGTCACTTTTTTGTTGACCCCTGCCAAGAGTGAGGAAGTCGATATCAAGGAAAAGAAAGGTATGAGAGTACTGGCGAAAGGAAACAGCTAATGCCAGCGTCAAGTCACAAATTTGACGAATGTACACATACACTTCTTGACGAGAAAGAGGTGGAGGGGGGACTTGAAGTGCTAAAGGGGAAGAAGCCCAGTCAATCTTGCAGTTAGGAGGTCCTGGGGCCGCGCTCTGGCACTGCCGAGCCATACCACACTTTCATAGCAGGATAAGTGCAAGGGGCGCTTTTCAATGCATTTCTAGAAGGTGATGGAGCTCTCGGAGCAAGAGTTCGAACATAAACTACCTCGCGCTCAGCAGCAGTTGTTCCGCGGTCAAATTGTGAGCGACGCCGACGTTGTTCGTCTCGGTATTGCTGACCAACACGAGGGGCAAAGAGGCCTTCAAAACAATGTCTCATCAGTGATTGATTATCAACCGTAATCCAAATTCCATGACTGACCGACGTGTTCTGCATTTTCGATACTACGTCGCATCTTTGACGGGTTGTCTGGGCCAGGGAAACGGTCTTCAGTACCAGCAAGTCCCCCAATACCCGTATGGAATATCTACAAAATTGGTGAGCTTTATACTAGTTTATCTTCCCTAACAATTGCAGCAAGCAGCTACCTTTGGGCGAAAGGACGGATGCTCTAACATCACAGAGCTGTTGCGAAATTTTTGCACCAGACAATCTTTGCCTTGGATTGCTAAACTGCGTCTTAGCACGTGGTACAGAATCGTGGGAGGCTGTTGACTAACTAGCATACGATACTTCGGCAACCTTGTCGCTGTTGAAACAGTTCCTAAGTGAGCCAGTTAGTGCCAAAATCTGAAATATGCGTAGAGGCCATATATACCAAGTATTCCCTGCTCGTGCGTTGACAAACTAGGAACGCATGAGGAAAGACACTTCGCCATATCCCGGTGAACGGGCAGGGACTACTAACATCAATGATATCGATTGGCTATCATCATGTCAATTACGTAGAGTACTCGGAATGTATATAGCGGGAGTCTTTATCGACTTACATCTTCAAAGTTGATAAAGGCATAGCCAACGCTAAAGGAGCAGGTCAGCACGCCTTGCTGCGATTGATCAGGTAGACAAATACCACATACTTGCAATTATTTGCAAAGTCTTCAATCATGTATTTAGTTTTGACTACTTCCGATAGTCACTGGCCTATATTGAACAACTTACCAATGCGCAGATACATGAAGTCATACTTGCCATGGCTTGTTTCATCAACTATCGCCTTGAGCATGGTCTTGAAAGGTCAGACAATCGGCCAGCGGCCCCCATGAGCACTCTACTGGACGTACTTGGTCAATTTTATTAGGAATATTCCGCAACATGATCTAAGTCAAGGTTAAAACAGACGATACTTCGTGAATGTTGCAATTGTTAGAACGTACAGTTGTTCGGACGTCTAGACCCAAGCGAATTCGCTCGATATCAACAGCGTTCTGATTGCTTACGCGCAGGTCAGCATAGCGGCTGAGCTCACGGCGCGGCGAAGCCAATATTTTCTCGCCAGCCCTAGACATCCATTCCAGGAGACCGGCGTGTTCACCTGGGGGAACGGTGGAGCGGCCTGTGGGGCTGAGTTCCATATATGGGCCACGGATATTTTGATTGGAGACCCAGTGCATATTTTTGAGAAATGGATCCTCGTGTGGGAAACTATCAGTTGCGGGGCATGGGCTCGGGTGAGGTACCGGAGCTCTGTCCTCGACATCCGGTCTGAACAAAGAGATATCGAGTACACAATCCTAAGACAGACAGCGGGGCTTGTTAGAGTAATCCATCACTTTCCCATAACTTTGGGAATTGGAGGGCTGAGATCCGCGACTTACATCAACAGAAGATCCATTTAGTGTGCTAATCACGTTTTCCCCATCACGAGTATTGAAGAACTCAGCGTGAAACTCACTTATATTCTCTTGTCCAGTGGGTAGGTTTGTAAACTCCTTGATATCTCCAAAGGTCATAAAAAGGGCCTCGAGCGAGCGAGCCACGGTGCATTTGTTCAAACTCGGGTTACGGCCATCGTAGTAAACAGTCACGAGCAATTGACCTTCGTAATCAGATGCTTGTGAGGCATTCGAAGGTTCTGTATGTTGTACATATTCTCTGATGGTAAGTGGGGAGATTCGCCATTCAGGTCGTAGGAGGTGAACTTTTTCAATTGCCCTCCTTGTCTCTCGACTATCGGTGAAAGCCACATAGACCTTGCCCATGGACCTGAGGTCTGTGAGGACAGGGCCTTTGACAGTAGTAAATTCACGGCGCTTGATTCTAGTCAGTACACCACCAACAGATACAAATATTGCGGTAGTAGGCCCACATTAAAAAATCCAGCCAAAAGAATGTAAGTCAGGTTTGTTGGGACATTTTCGATCACCATGGCGCGGCTACGTCTTTCGCCATCAACCTTGTCAAAGTTGAAACCATACGACAAACTCGTGTTCTTTGGTTGAAATCTTCCAACAGGTCTATATCTCGAAGGCTCATCCTCGAGGTACTCTGGAGGGCTCGTCCCTGTTTCAGTGGATTCGGGTGGTGTCTTTGCCAATAAGTGGCCAACTCCACGGGCTTGGCTGCTACTGAGTACAAGACTTGCCGTTCCACTCGGTGTGAAAGTAGCTGCAGTTGGCGAAAGCTTCACGCATGCTGGCACTAAAAAAGGATCGGTAGATGCCCTTGCTCTTGTTAGAAGAGCTTGATATGAATAACGGGAAGATTTAGCTTACACCGAGTAGAGCTTTCGAAAACCAGGGTCATTCGAGGAAGTGCAGATCCCAGACTCGGGACGCCCTCTCGCACGTATGTCTTCAGGAGAAAATGCCGTGATCTTTGTGTCTGGAGATCCGTTCGGGGAGACCACTTCATTCGTAGAGCAAGGACTACTCAAGCCAAGTGGAGACCCGTTCGCCCTCATCTTGGGTACTCAACCCTTATTGGAGCCCAGGTTTCACGGAAGATGGAAATCCAAGTTGTTGAGAGAGACAAGGCCTAGGACAAGGACAATGGGATATTTCTGTGTGTTCACGAAAACGGAATGTATGATCAGCGAGATCAATGATTAAGTAAAGAATGAAAGAAGAGCTTGGATCTACATAAACACAGGGATGTATTCCTCTTGCTATATGTGAGAAAAGTGAGAGAGTGTGAGAGGCGTGGAGGTGAGGGGGGGAGTGAAGGAGACAAGAGATGAAAGGGTTGAAGGGAAATAAAGGCGACACGAACTAATAGGAACGTTGTATAGTGGTTTTCGCCTGACAGGGAGATCAATGAGCAGGATTCATGTACTCTCGATGATAAAGAAACAATCTATCTGTGCAGAATATCCTAAGACAGGTACCTACTGAACACACAGCTGATAACCCTAGATACTAGTACTATCTGAATGAGCGAGAAAGCGTTCTCGATACTTAATGTCTACCCATCTGCTTGTTTCAAGGATGCAGAAATAAAGGCTCCCTATATTACTGTGTTGAGTGCTTTATCTATCATAGTCTTCTGTATGGATTTAGAGGCTCGTACAATATTGTGGAACGGTGGTCTTTATCAAATATATGTATACATTTCGTCCTAGATCGGTAAAAACAGTTGATTCCAGATACGGGAAACCGTAGAAATGAGAGCAGGTACTTGTCATGTGGCCTCGTGCTATATGCTACCTATCTGGACACTCCGAAGTAAGGGTACCAGCTCGCATTAGAACGGATACACATCTTGGATTCAGTGGGGAAATTTGAAAACACATGGCTATCAGCCGGAACCGACTAGCCCTAGTAGTAATTCTGTTTCTCAGAATTCGACAACAAAGCCTACAAATCCAGGACTCTTACTGCCTAATACTATACTTAGATCGGTAAAGGCCTGCTCATGAGCATATCAAACTGACCTTCTGGGTGCCCATAGACTCGGTGACCATCATCTCATCTATTGAGTACCGGATGTCCATAGATGAGGGCTGTTAACTACCTACTACCACCACTAGCAATGAAATCACGGACACCACTATGGCCTTCGAGTTTGCCTTTGCCGCTCGTGGAATAGAGTCTGGTTAATTCTATTATTTTTCAGGGGTGAAAGACAGCACAAATTAATCAAATCGTCCACAGATGCCCCAATGTGTGGATCGTCAAGCCCAGATACATCAAAATGTTGGTTGGCGCGCCAGCATGAAATTTCCCTTTGCTTGCTGAAGATGGCAAATCAGTCGTGATACTGCCTGTCGGTCCGCCAATCCTAGCACCAGGACCATCAGCCACCACGGACGTCACTGGGTGCGACACTCGGGTGGCACCAGGAACTGCGTTCTTCCCCGTACCGATTTCCAGGATCTCGTCCCCTGTTGAATTGAAATTGGTGTTTGCGAGGGAGATCTCATTATTAGAAAGATCATATACAATATAAGCACTGCGTAGAAATGTGTCGCCTAGGACAACTGTGCTGTCACCGGCAGGGACAATACCAAAGACACAAGCACGTGTGCCATCCTGGAAGCGGAGATCACCGGCATCAAGCACAAGCTCATCAATCCCAACTGTTATGTTAGGGGATGAAAAAGTATACACCAATTGGATATCATCATCCGATATGCTGCATGGTATATATCCTGCACCACTGGAAGATTCATAGACCACCCCAAGATCATCATAGATATCTTGAACAACACCATCGGGGAGATATGTCAAGGAGCTCCCGGAATCAAGGAGAACAGCAGCTGGAAGTGAGTTCGAAGAGTAACTGTGATGCGTTGACTCTGATTTCAACGAAACTGCCGTAAGCGCCACTATGAGTTCTGAATAGCCACCGTTGACAGTTTGGATGGGCAGGGTTTGCAGATGTCCGTTGTACTTTGCTTTGTTTACCCCCCCAAATAAGATTGAGCCGGTGTTTGCGTCCAGATCATTGAGCCAGAGACTGTAGGCATTGGATTTGAGTAGTCCTGCCTTAACCATCGCCCATGGAAGATTTGGGTAAGGTTCTTTACCATAACGACCAACTTGGACCTCATTAGAAGGGTACCCTATGCCTAAAACGCCCTCTGATATGATCAATCAACCACAGGGAGATTAGTTGACGATCAAGAAATCGATACCGGGCTTGGGTCTCTGTTACAACCAGGGTCATGACAGACTTACCCGGTGAACTAGATGAATACCCCACGCCAAATTGGAAGTGTTCTAGGGTTGCGCCTCCGATCTGGAGGTTGTCGGTCAGATAAGCCCCGGTTGCTCCGGTGCCATCTGCATAGGAAATGTTGAAATCCGAAGACGTATATGCATATGTTGAGGAAAGGGTTGGATCATATGAGCCGGAAACGCTGCAAGGGTTTCTAGACGAAGAGCAAAGAGTCGAGTTTGCCGCGTTACACCATAAGTCGCTGCTTCCAGTGTCAATAACGAGGCGCAAGCTTTGATTTGGCGTCCCAAGTGTAACATTGCAGAAATATAACATCTCCTATTTCGCTGGTATGTAAACACATCTATGATAAATATTCTATAACAGGGCACAGCCACACACCTCATTATCAAGTACCTGACCAACTGTCTTGTCACGTTTGCGCCTTACATTATCTCTGCCCACAGGATCAGGGACATCTTTGCGATTTATCATAAGCTCCACAACATCAGGGCCATCCCTGGGGTAAAGTGTGAATGCATGCGTATGCTGTATGATGCAAGAGGCCGTCAACAAAAGGCGCCACGTGGCTTTCATGATAATTAAGAATAGCTGAACCCTCCACGGCCCTTATTATAAGCAATAGTTGCCAGAAGGCAGTTCTTTCAATATGTATAGATTTAATAATTTGAGAGGCAATGCTGGACTTCCAAATCCACGCCTGGCCACAGAATATATATAAGATTTCAAATGCATGATTAACATTTGTCCCATAGCCTCTTTCAGCAGAGTAGTAGGTGGTAAGTGATGTCTTCTGTGCAATGTAGTAGGTCGTGACGACTAACACTGTTCTTTAGACCTAGCCAGATTTCGGAGATCCACATCTTTGGCCTCTTAGGTCCCAGTAGTAGACCCACAACCCCGGTACACGTGCATACTGTACAGAAATGCTGTCGTCATCTATCGTGGATATTGTCTTGGTATTCATGACACTCCGCACTGGCACAATAAATGCTACTAAGAGCCCAGGATGTGCTATGTGGTGGGGCACGTACAATTGATTACCATAGTTCGATTGTTGTTGCTGGCTCGTATTAGTCCCATCCGTCCCGGTTCGAGGCGCCGACCAGGCTCAAACAGGCAAGTTATTGATTTGCGCATTATGAACCTACAACGTTTTCCATTGTAGTTGTGTTCGTACCAAAGGTATATCTCAGGTTCTTTGCGCCAGTAATTACCTTGACTGCGGGTTCAGGGGTTCCCAATCAATTATTTTCCATGATTCACTACATGTGATAATCCTAATGTACAACTCGGGAAGTAAATACGTGCCTCTCTCCCAGTGTCCCCGAATCTTGGATAGAAAGTGCAATTCTGTCAAAGACCTACTGCTTCTCTGACATGTTTCATAGTCAGCTCAGCATTGCAACGCGCATCCTGTGCCCCTTGCTCCGCAACTGATTCAAGATAACTAGTTTTGTCCGCCATGATCGAAAAATATTTCTCTCTTATGTGCTCGAGGTCCTTGGAAATCCTAGTGGCCAAGTGTTCTTTCAAAGAACGAAGGCTAGCGGACCTATACTCCGAGGCTAGCTCGTCACATGGCCGTTCCTCAAAATGACCGAGTATTTCGAGGAGGTTAGATACCCCGGGCCGGTGGATAGGGTCGTAGGCTATACCTACCTCCGAGTCCGTCAGAGCTACTTTTATTTTTTTATGAATGTCTTCAGGGGAGTCAGTCAACAGAATTCTTGACCGATCATCGGTATGAGATTTCGACATCTTCAAATGCGGATCCTTGAGTGACATTACTCGCTTCGCGGGGGCTGCGGGGACGGTCAGTTGATGCCCTTCACAATCTAACATCCCCGGTTTCGTTATAAGGATGGTTAATCTCACATATAAGAGCTTCTGGCAAAGGGAAAATTGGGCCGTAGAGGTGATTGAAACTATTCGCAGTCGATCTGGAAAACTCGAGGTGTTGTCGTTGGTCTTCCCCAACAGGAACATGAGTCGCTCTGTATAGTGTCAGTGAAGGATCATCTTCCTCGTCGTCTTTGGCGCGCGAACCTATGTACCAAAATATCTGCAGCCTGCAGAACAGGGTACGAGAATAAACCGAGTCTCAATTTCGATCTCGCCGTTGAATGTTCCAACGTAGCGTCGTCGGACAATTTAAGTTTACTCTAGAGGACCATCATATTAACATCACACCCTTTGTGCTTGCCTCTCATTAAAAAAGCTAGTTTTGATTTCGGCCAACCCACTTTCCATTGGGTCATACGAGATAGATATCCCATGGATGATGTAGTGCAGAGAATCCAGAAGAGTTCAGCATGTGCGGCAACCTCCAAAGCAGTTAGAAATTGATTAGACAGCAAGTATATCAAATATGATAATGTCAGCACAACTTACAGCGGACTGATAAAACAAAGTCGAGCGTGTTGGATCTAGCCCGATAGCGAGTAATGTCGCAAATGACTCTTTCCTCCATTTCTTGAACTGGTTGTGATCTTGGGGGATCGTTAATGCATGGAGATCAACGATTGAAAAGAACAATTTAGTTCCTGGTGCCGTATTATTTTGGAGCTTGACCCATTCTCGTAAAGCACCCAAATAATTTCCTATGTGCGGGACACCAGTGGGTTGTATCCCAGAGAATATAACGCGACTGCCATTTTCCGCTGATGATTGAGTCCTTAATGAGCTGTTCCACCGCCGGTGGTCCTTTGACCCCCAGTGGTCCGCTTCTAAATGTACAGTGGCTCTACCCTTCGGGTGCAAGCTTATCGGCAGTTGCTTCAGTTGGCTGAATCTGGCAGACATCGTTTAGTCGGTGTTAATAGGGCGGAGTGCCGACTGACCATTGCTCTATCTGGTCACAAGTACCTGAGACCGGGAATTCTCCGCCATTAAAAGAGGGTATGGCACGTGACCTATATTGCGATAAGGACCCCCGACAAGATGCGCGGACCGAGAAAAAAAAAAGTGAAGAAAAGCTAGCCCGAGCTCTAATTGAAATCCAACCAATCGAAAACATCTGAAGAAATTGATAAACCCCCTCGGCCTTAAAATACTCGGTGGTTTCTTGAATGATAATTGCAACAATAACTAGACATAGTAAAACTACACAGAAAGGCACAGGCTAGGGACGCCGAGTGAACATATGGAGAGGTGATAGAAGATTTTCAGTGCCTTCGGATATTGGCTAATGGGGCCTGGTTATGAGCAAGTCTTCCAGCATCCAGGACGTTGGATAATGAGCCGAGCGCTTCTCCGTCCTTGCGCCGACCGAACTGTGACAGGTGATGTTCTAGGGACTTTTCGACATCCGAAGTACTTTCGTCCAAATTCCTGCCAATATCTTCAGAAGCTATGTTAGCATTTCGACTTGTATTTGAGGTTAAGCCCAGGGTAGGGACCGAGCCATACCAAGAGTTTCATGTTCCCAAACATTTGCCTTCATACCGACCCCATAGAAAGCGTGTTTCCGCAAGAATGCCAGCCATGTCTGAACAACTTCAGGATTGCCGTCCTTGATTTGAATAAGCCGACGAAGGGTTATTCGTTCGAAATTTTCTTGACTCTTTTTGTGTACAAAATTGCTCCGTGGGAAAGTCCACCGCTCGACAATCCGTGGCAACGGCACGGGCCCAGAAACCGGGAGCCGGAGATAGTATGCAGCACGAATGGCGAAGTCTGCGAAAAACTCCACATTTCGTACGCTGTAAGATCTCAACTGGAGATCACAGCTTGGTAAACCATACTCGGATGACCTCCGTAGCGGGCGCAAATAGACCGCTTGGACGCTCCGAGGAAGTCTAGCCCTAGAAGACAGGCTGTCCAGACGTTCGGACCTAAAAGAAGTAGTGAGTTAGTGTTTGAAATTGATTGATCATTCGCTCCAGCTCCAGTATAGACCGCGAAGAGGCTGTGACGACTAACCATTCCGTTGCAGATGAAGTATCGGGCGGAGAGCTATATATCAGTAAGTCAGCAAATAATTTCGCAAAGGAAAATTGATTAGACGATGTTGCCTCACATTGTATCTTTCTTGGATTCGCTTTCCGTACTTGATATACCACGCCTGGGCACAGTCGCTTGATTTGATTTGTTAAGAGCTGAGAATGCGAGGTTGCGCATGGGTACAGAGAACTTCGTATCATCAGTAACATGGAAGATAGACGGCCTTAGGCTCCAAATACCTGTATATGCCTACCAACCCCGGAGATGAGGCATGGGTTCGACAATAAGCTCATGATTGCACCACGAGTCAACTGCTGGCTAACAAGGGTAAATATGCTGGTAGTGAAGAACGCCCTGGATGTCGGCAGTCCATTTTTGACGATTTGTCTGATATTGATGTGATTGGTTGATTTGACTCACCGCTTTCCCGCTAGTGTTCCGTCGGTAGTCCGGAGTACCACTCCGTAGTGTCACCAGGAGATGAATGTACTTTCATGGGCTCCGTACAGGTACTTACTCTGGAGGTAGAGCATCAGTACCATTTAACCACAGCGTACGTATGCCACCCGGTGAGTCATGATACTGTGGACATTGTGTAGGAAGTTGATTTTGTAATGTCTGTACATTTTGCCTGTAAGTTATACCCGCTTACCCTAGTAGGATGGTACTATGGATACTACCGAAGGTAGCCGGAGTGACTAGCTAACATCAAGTACTTCGTTTCATGTACTTTGTATGGAGTACAAGTGTAGTTAACAGTCCATGTCCTAACTTGAATCGTCCTGCGTAGTGCGTACTGAAACGAAATTGATATGACAGCGTGAAATGATGGTGGGTCTGAACAACAAGGATGGGAGAGGCTTCTAGTACATAAGCAGCTAGGTTTGAAATCATTTTTAACCATTGAAACATGTTAGAAGTGTTGCACTGCGCCTATATATTTCTCATGCCCCATTCGAGACCCTTCTCTTTTCGATTCTGTGTATCATTCTCAACAACCAAAAGAAAGGAACACGACTACCCGGAGGAAACATGTCTCAATTTGATCAGGCTCGTGAGGCAGCCTCTTTCTTGAAGCAACATTTACCTGCTGCTTTACAAGATCCTCAGGTCGCAATTGTCTGTGGCTCTGGTCTGGGTGGTCTCGCGGACAGTATTCGTGACACACCCCACGAGGAATTTGATTATTCTTCTATCCCCCACTTTCCACACCTCACTGGTAGTCTCACAATGCCATATTAGTTATCGCTTGTTTACACTAACGTTTGTGCTATGATAAGTTCCTGGGCATGCTGGCAAGCTTGTTTTTGGTCTTCTTGACAAAACAGTGCCTGCTGTGCTAATGGTTGGCCGAGCCCAGTAAGGCAGACTTCCATCAATTTAATATCACTTATGAACTGACAATTGCCTACAAGTTACTACGAAGGCCATTCCATTGAAAAAGTGACGTTCCCTGTACGGGTATTCAAGCTTTTGGGAGTAGATACTATCGTCTGTGAGTGTCCATTGGACTTCTTCCCTGTTTGCATTTCCTTAACACCACATATGCAGTGACCAACGCAGCTGGGGGTCTCAACCCGAAATATGCAGTGGGCGATATTGTACTACTGAATGACGTGAGTCTCTGTTGGTCATGAGCACTAACGACATATGGGATTCTAACTCGAACATTAAAGCACATTTTCTTAGCAGGGTTGGCCGGAAACCACCCATTACGAGGGCCAAATGTTGAGGAACTGGGACTGCGGTTTCCGCCTTTGTCTGATGCCTATGACCTGGAACTTCGTCGACAAGTACATGAAGCTTGGAAGACCATAGCACAACCCAAAAGAAGCAGAGAATTGCATGAAGGCGTGTATGCCTTTGTCGGAGGTCCGAGGTGAGTTCGTCAAGGCATGATTTGAACCATGTTCCATGATCCCAGCTGAATATTGTAGCTATGAGACCAGGGCAGAATGCCGCTTGCTCCGGGCGCTCGGGGCTGACGTGGTAGGCATGTCGACTGTACCAGAAATCGTTGTTGCCAGACACTGCGGAATTCGGGTTTTGGGACTGAGCCTGGTAACGAACAATGCAGTTCTTTCGCCCGTGCCTCGTGGAGATGATAAGGAGATCCAGGGTAAAGGCGCCCAAGACCTGAATACAATCCTGGAAAGTGGTAAAGCGGACCATGGGGAGGTCCTGGAGGCTGGCCGCAATGCGGCTGTTGACATGGAGGTACGTATCCCAGCCCCTCCATCTCGTATAGCTACTGACACCGGATGTAGAAACTCGTTGTGCGAGTTATGTCAACCGTCTTCAAACGTAGTTAGTGTCTAAGTCTTGGCTCTGCCCAGGGAACAAGTGGTCGTGGGTGAGCAGTAGGCACCCGTAGCTTTGGGTTAGCCACGATCTCATGATCATTTGAACACACCAGAGAACAAAAATTTTCACGTGTTCTTCTTGCCTTGTCTTTTAGATCGCAGGTTCTGATAGTATGCCTTCTTTCCGCTTTGTTTATTCGATTGTATGTCGTTGTACTTTGACCGCAAGCGTCTGGCTTGCTGCTCCACAGCCAATGCTTCTTCAACAAACGTCTTCCGTTGGTTCTTCTTCGTAATGCGGTTACTGAAAAATTCAGTTGGACCTTCAAGTACAGTGCCCACCTGCAGGTACTTCGGAGGCTGGGTTTTCGCATTTTCCTTCTTGTAATGTCTTTTTGGGTCCAGCACGGAGCGCATCCGGAGAATCTGGAGGTCTCGCTTGAGTTCCGGCGTCAATTCTGTTCTGGGCATATCGAACCAGTCCTTCCCTGCCGTGGGTTTATCCTTTGAGTATAAATGTTAGCTTGTGGGCCATGTTTATGAAAATCAAAACATGCAAGATTGTTTCCAATGTAACATTCAGAGTAACTATGAAAAAAAGCTCTCACTAGTGCAGCGCAACCCAAAACGAGTTGTTAAAGCCACATCAAGCGCTTATGCGACAGAATAATTTTCCTCATAATGATATGGATCGGGTTTCAAGCGAAAGGGTATGATTTACCTTATTTGCGGGTCCAGTCTTTTCAGTGTTCGACATTTGGAACACTGTTGACTTGTTTGGTGAAGGCTGTATGACATGTGCTGGATCAACAGTGGCAATATCGCCCTGCTCGCGGACATAAGGTTGCAGCGAATGCTCTGATGCTAACTTGGGAACTCTAGGTTGTACATATTGGTAAGCTTATATTCAGAGCCAGCCGGGCATGAGACTTGGCTCCAAGTTTTGCCCGCGTAATCTACTCACTTTAGCGAAGAGGTTGTGCCATCTGAGTATTTGTCGCTGTGACGCTGGAGTACTGAATCATGTGTTTCTTTCACGTTATGAGCACGAAGCCGACCTTCGGCCTGAAGAAGTAGCTGTTGAATATCATGATCTGCCATGTTATCGGTGTCGGCGTTTATATTGGCAGCAAGATATTCACATGTTAATGCTGTCATCTGCTATGAGATAGCTGAGAGATGATAATGGTGATAAGTAAAAGGGGGTGAAGAAGATTTGGGAAAATTAACAAAAGAAAATTTATGAGTTGTGGGAAAAAGTTCTACTTATACTAAGAAATATTAGTAGAGGCTTGTAGCTCACGCAGATGTTAACTAAAATTTTGCATTAGACCCACTAATGTAATGTACTGAAATTTTCTTCCAGGGACCGCACTTATTCGGGCCCTTCTGCTTGAAATTACCTACCTGGGTACTAGGGAGGTACGACGGTATCTGTCTACCTCAGTACCAGGTACGTGACTACCTAGGTGGGTACTGCCTTACCTAAAGGTACAATACCTGGTGGTTTGCTCCAATAGAAGTGGACACTCGTGGTAATACCAGGATTCCAGTTTACACTTCCTCTAGGGGAATAGATCAGTTCCTAACAAGTCATCAAAATACCAAGTAGATAGCTTATAGATAACTAGGTAACGTCGGTAGGTAGTAATGACATCTCTCAAGTAGTATGTACATGTCGGAGTCTGTACGGTTACTGAAATACACTACCTAAGTACTATAACTACTTACACTTTCGTGCACTTACTGATTGGTTACAGCATCTTTCACCGCTACCGGGTATTCTGCCACCCCACCCCAACACTTTTTGTTCCCTTTCCAAGCTGCTCGTGGAGCGCGCATTCTATCCTATCTCGTGATTAACTAGTTGATCCTTTATAACAAACAGTACGTACTACTCTTGATGCGACGCAGCCCATATATCTACCTAAACTTATCGGGCACTTTGTCTGCGAACGTCAGAGCTGCATAGGACTTGGCGTTCTTTGTCGCGCGCTACTACTAACCACCCTTCCGCGATTTACCAGTCAGACACGACCCTTCATTACTTTCTCCTATCAACAACAAAGACTCGTCCTTGAGAATCAGAACAGCCATACTTGTTGCATTCATTATCTTGGGTTCACCCATCTGCTTAACATCAAATATATTTGGGGCGCCCTCGTAAGATTGGTATTGTCTTCCGCTATATCGTCTATCGGCTCGTCTGCCTTTGGGTCTCGTCAAGACCAGCATAATTGAACAAGTTCATCCCTCAAAGAACGACAAGTTTATTGGAGAAGTTTTGTGTCATGGAACAGCCTTCACAAAATACGGGACAACCCCAAGGCAGGCAGCAGCCTGTCTACGACACTAGAAATGGTGGACACTACGGTAATTCTTCCCATATCCTTTCTTTACCGATGGAGTCACATCTGTATTACGAAGAATGTGCTAAATCAACTGACGTGATTGTAAAGGGGCCAGCGCAGCGGTATGAGCAGCTACTCTCATAGTTCCCTAGGCAAAGTTACGCGTTTTGCTGTATGGCTGACTTGCTATAATTCCATTAGCTATCCGCTCAGGGATATGCGCCTGTTGCTGAGCTTTATACGGGAACATGGGCGAATGTAAGTTCTTCAAAGTTGCTAAGTTTGGATTTTATAGCACCAGCTGACAATGCCTTAGGTCAATCAAGGCTTACAGGGAGCAGCCCGGGATATCCTTACCACATATTGGCAACACATCATCAACCACTTAGAGTCCGACAATCATGACTACAAGATCCATCAGTTACCTCTCGCTCGCATAAAAAAAGTGATGAAGGCAGACCCTGAAGTAAAGATGATTTCAGCAGAGGCTCCAATCTTGTTTGCTAAGGGCTGTGATATATTTATAACTGAGCTAACCATGCGAGCATGGATCCATGCGGAAGACAACAAACGGCGTACTTTGCAGAGATCGGACATCGCGGCAGCTTTATCCAAATCAGATATGTTTGATTTTCTCATTGATATAGTTCCCCGCGAGGAAGCTACGTCGCATGCAAAACGGTCCAGCCAGGCGGCGGCAGCTCCATCGGGATCCTCTGGCCCAACAGGCCCAACAAGTCAGCTCCCGCCTTCTCAGCACGGGGTGCAGCACCCCGCACACCACATGGCACACCCCGATTACGGCATGGGACAACATGGCCTTCAAGACCAAGAATATCGCCAGCCAGCCATTTATGCAGGGGCTGTGCAGTCAGATCCAACTGCTGCGTACGGACAGCCACAGTCCCAGATGTTCGAAGGGATGTATGCTGCTTATCCGCATTTGCCTCCGCAACAGGTATGTTTCCAAGCGAACCGTTTCAAGCTTCCATTTGGTGCCTTATGAATGTACGGAATTTAGCTGGTTCTTTTTTCGCTAATATGTCTAAAGTGAGCCACCTGGGAGACATGGCTCGAGTTAATCAGTTCGCATTTCAGTAGTTGAAGGACAGATTATTGGCGCTTGATGTGGGTTGCTCAATTGAGTAACTAGTAGAATAATGATCTGAGAATTCTACCAAACATTAGTGATTTTATTGACATGAGTAAAATGACTCTTCCCAAATGATAATAATCGGCCGGGTCGTGGGCGATATTGTGGCCTATCTGAATCGGAGCACCAGGCATTACATTCACCGGTTACACTATATCTCAAGACCTTTTCCCAAACCTGGAAGAAAGTGTTGAAAACTTGTCATTTTTTATCACATTTTCGGGAGCTCGTGTGACCCTGCAACTTATGTTAGCTATAGGGTCCATGTAAAAGCCGGAAGATACGTACTTTTCTAGTAAGATCGGCCCATTAATCGCATCCACGCGACCATACTTCTTATTGCGGGTAGATATGTCATAAAATTCATCCGTATTGTCTGCCTGCATCAACTGTACTGTTTGTTGAAGCTCATCAAGGTTTTCGCGAAGGATGGGCACACCAAGGCTGTCAACGAAATGATGAAGATATTCAACATCCTTTGCGAGAGCCATGATTCCATTCGTGTTGATTCTCTTGACATCCGGAGCAAGTGGAAGAGCCTTGGACAAAAAGAAAGCAATCAGCTCTGGTAAAGGGGGAGTTGGGACTATACGGTGTATACATACAAGAATCGTATCCGCTGCATGGCTCAGAGCATCGAAGTATATGAGTTCTTTTATTTCCGTAGGGAGGCCTAGCAATGTTGAATTCATTATGTTCGATAGGAAACGAGTCAGTGTCTGCATGTAATTGCTCGGCTCGGTTGGTGGAGAAGAGGCCGTCCAGTCGTATTCTGCGGTTTCAACGAGATCGTCAATTTTCGAGTTGACGACTTCAAATATGCGCTTCTCTGCTGCTTTCTTGTTACTCCTGAATTTTTCGGTAGCATTTAAAGCTGTGGAACCACTTGTGGAGCCTTGCGACCTAGCAGCTGCGAGAAGTATTTCAAGCTCATAGCATGCATGTTCAAAGTGCTCTAGATTAATGAGGATTTGAACAATTTGCCCCAAGTATTGGGAAGCAAGACGCTCAACTAGAGTATCGCAAACTTTGTCTGAGAGTAGTTCATCCAGTGCCTATGATGGTTAGCAGGGAGTCCCACTCCTCACCATAGCAAAACTCACATCCTTAAGCGTTTCATCAATAACATCTGAGTGTGAAAAGTCGTCGTTTGCAAAGAAGTAGAACTGGTTCAGAAAGTTCCGAATGTCGATACAACACAACGGATACATTTGAGAAAACGGCAGGACACATGGGAAGCTGAAACTAGGCATTAGTGGCACGATAACAGATGCTGTCGTTTAGATAACATACGCTTGCTCTTCTCGAGATTTCTCGGGGGTATACCAGCTGACATTGAGAACCTTGTCATATTCCTCCAATGTCTGTATCGGCATGGGCATGTAATCATCGGTAGACACAATCTCAATATCTTAGCATTCGAAAAAAGACGGTAACTAGGTATGACTCGTACCTCTTGAAAATCATCACTAAACCTTTTCTTCAAAAGCTCGGCGTATCTTCCAAACAAAACCAACAAGAAGTTGTCAAATATTGGAACCTGGAAATCCCAAGCCTGTAGCGAGTTAGTGGTAATATCAACTTCAATTTGTCCATGAATACTCACATTCATTGTTTGCATGAACAATGCAATTAGGTTTTTTATTTTCAGGATACTCTCAGCGTTATCAACCTCATGGAGTGTTTGTGATATCAAGTGAACTGCTGTTTGGCACAGTGAGTCCCATAATTCATCGACCTAGGTTCACATGTGAGTTTGATGGTGAAAGTGGGATAATAGTTGTTTGTACCTACATCAATTGATGATCTCAGATCAGGAATTCTTTTCATTGTAGATCGTTCCACAATGGCAAATCCCGCCATTTCTTCCAGAAGGTTGTGTAGGCTGGCGCCATCCTCATCGATGAGTGTTATTGATGCTGGGACAAGAAGCTCTTTTTGCCGACGTCGTGTATTGGCATATTCAATACGAAACTTGTCCATTTGCCCTAAAGATTGATGGATGTGAAGACATTCAAACAATGGTGTAAAATCAACCTGGAGTTCTTCATTTTGCAGAAGATCATACTCCTCATGCTCGTCGGAAACCAATTCAATGGCAGAATTTAACTTGAAATGCCCAAGATATGGTAACCTCTCCACCCTCTCTTTCTGCCTTGTTTTTCGAAGATCGGTGTGGTATAAAGCAATCTCCCCGAGATATTGCGACATTTCACGGATCCGGTATAGCCAAGTATTCAGGTCTGACATCACTGCTTCGGCTATGGCCTTTTGGGTTGTTGGGACAGAACGTTGGATCATTTCGGCAATCTTGTACTGGGTCACCCCTTTGAGATGAACATTCTGGAGCTCTTCAAGGGCCCGAAGTGCTGCGTAGTGATTCTTCTTTGCCAATAGATCATGGACTTGATTGGCGAGACGTAAAACTTCCAGGCAATCTTGGATGGCACGCAATGTCTCATCTATGTTCTGTCTGTGACTCCGCGACTCAACTAATACTTTCTTTTGTTCAGCTAACTTTTCCGTGCTGGATTGAATGGATTGGTTTAAATCTAGTATTTCTGCTGTCAAGCTGACAGTGCCTTCTCTGATCCGAAGAAGCTGATTGACGGAACTGACAAATTCCTGGTGGTGTGTATTGCATATTGTTTCGATCTCCGCTTCCTTGTCGCCGGCGAACCTAGATAGTGACTGCAGCAGCTGCGAGGTTCGGTTGCCAATACTGTATTCTTTAATCGATGGAATAAGTTGGTCAAGATAGTCAGCGTCAGACGGCGATATAATGATCTATGATGGTTAGCCAAACTTCAAAGCTTGTAATCACTGCTCTCTGATTCTCACTTGGTTCAAGATGTACGAAGATTCATTTCGGGAAGACACCATTGACGGCATCGCGGCTGTTCATGCAGCATATAGGAGAACTATAAAAATGTATTCCAGATAAATTATTGATGTGTCCGCTAAATCAAGAAATTAGTGTCTCGTTCTGTTGGTTATACACACAGCTTAGTTCATATGGTCCCTGGCTAAGGAGCCTAAAGCTGATCGTTTCATCATGTGACCGTTGATTAACTAACCACCTAACTTAAACCTTACCCAGCTAGCCCGGGTGGAGGGGCCCACCAAATGCTAAACTGCAATGCCACGGGTTCAAGCAACTACATAGTGGGCCCATGGTAGAAGTTGCAGATAGAGTGGCATGACCGCACCGCAAAATCCTCACTGAACCGCACTGAACCCGCAGCCGTGCGGGTTTGGTACAAGGGGGGTAGAATCTATAGTGGATTTGGATCCCTGAAATAAACTTGAATTAGAGTTAGCTTAATTTAACCTTTTTAGCTTAGGTATTTAAGTAATATTTTAATATAATATATATATTCATATAAGTATTCTAAAAATATTATTTTTATAATTTTTGCTTATAAACTAGACTAGTAAGCAGGCTTTTACAGATAGACTAGTCTACTTTAAGCCTAAATTTTAGCCTTGACTAGTCTATTGAAGTAGAAATCTATTAATTTTTGGTTTTTATATAAAAACCATATCAAACTACAAAAAATCACGTTGTAAGCGGCTAGGCCGATATTGGGAGGTTTGGGAGTAGACATTATTTAGGTGGCTAGTCCCCTACTTATTAATAGATATCTCTATAAAGATAGAAGGAACTTTTTATATAAAGATAAAAATAATATAATTTAAAATAAATTACTCAAGTCTTCTCCTAGTAATTTCTATAATTTATTATACTTTAGTAGATATCTATTAATTTAATATTAGTTTACTAGTTATTTACTAGATCCCTATATTTATTTATTAAGTTTAATATTAATTAATACTTCTAGTTATAATAATTATCTCTTTTTTTTTAAGTATTTTAATTATAAGATAATAGTATTCCTGTAATTAATCTAATTAGAATTTAAATAATTAATAATTATAAATTTTATATATTCTAATCAAGTAAGTTAAAATAATAATAATAAATAATATAATATATAATCTTATTATTATTATTTAAAGTAATAAATAAACTAGATAATAAATAAGTCTTAAGATATAATATAAAGACTAATAATTTTATTTTATTTATTTATAAAATTTTTTTTCTTTTTTTAATTTTTTTTATTTATAATTTTTATATATATATAATATTTATTTATTAATTTACTAGTAAGTTTATATTTAATTTATATTATTATCTTTAAATAATATTAAAATTATTATAAGTTTTAAATATAAAATATTTATAAGAACTAGCCTCTTATTTAATACTTAAATAAATTATTATTATTTTTCTAGTAATTAGATAATATATTTATAAGATAATAATATCTAGAATAATAAGAAATATATTTTTAATAATAATTAATTAAAGCTTATAATCAAGATTATAAAGATATATTATTTTATTTTTTATTACTTATTATTTTATTTACTAATAATTATTATTCTTATAAATTATATATAATTATTATATTAGTTTTTAAGTTCCTATTAACTAGTCTAGTTATACTTATCTTAATAAAAAAAAAAGAAAAAAAAAAAAAATTTTTATTTTTATATTTTTATTTTCTTATATCTTTCTAGTTTCTTATTATATAAATATTAGAATCTAGATAATAATCTCTTTTAATTATATTAATATTAAAATATAAATAATAATAATTACTAGCTTTTTTCCTAGTTCTTATATAAATATTAGCTTTACTTAATACTTATATTATACTAAGAAAATTAAAGTAAAGAAGTTATATAATTAATTATATAATTTTATTAAGTATAAATATTATTAATACTAGGATAAGAAGTACTTACTAATATTGATTTTTATTTATTTTATAATAAATATAATCTTAGTCTTACTAGTAAAAGTTTAAATAATTATAATAATAATTTTTATTAAATAAATAAAGATATTTTATTACTAGTTTCTTTATTTACTAGCTAATTAATAGATAATAATTCTTTTATTATTTAATTATAATATTTTTTATCTAGTAAATATT